TCCAAATATATTTATCCTGCCAATAACTTCACAACTTTTACCCCTCACATGCAGCAGATATGTAGTGGTGTACTCTTGAATTTATTTTCATTGAACAACAATCAGGTGAAGATGCATTACAACCTAAATTGATGATTCTTACCACTTTCAAGTCACTTAGTTTTTTGTTTCTCTTTTGACCTTCTGCTATCTTGGCCAACATTTGTCAGATTTCAGGAAGAGAGAAAGAGAGAGATAGGGAAGTATAAAGAGCCAAATAGAGAAAAGCAGTTATTTTTCTACTCCTATAGTCTCATGACTGTAAGATCAACCACACTGATGAAGAAAAATGATGACGTTACATATGGCACAGAGTGTAAGGAGATTAAAAAGTAGGAGACACTATTTTTGAAACTTCTCTGTACTATAAAATGACATAATTGATTTTATCCAATCCATCAAAAGAGCTTAATTATTTTTGATCTCTCAGCAAAAAGTGCACATTTCTCCTCTTGATAATGAAGAAATAAATTGATTTTTTGATAAGGGTTGGTAACTTCAGTCTGATTTCTGACAAAGAACCATAATCATACATCCATTCAAAGCTTTTAGTCAGATTAGAGAAGATATCCAACCATTCATCATGAAGAGAGTTGTGAATTTCTTGCAAAATTGACTTTTATTAATTTTTTCCATTGATACTTCTCAGTTATAAGATAATTTGGCAAATCATGAAGAATGATAATTTAGGTTCAGCTTCAGTAACAAGTTGGTGCCAAGAGACTGACTTGAGTTCAAATCTGCAACTACTTTGATCATTTTGAAATGAAACTACAGAAGCATTATGCAAAGAAAGTGAGTCCATCATTGTTCTGTGAATAAAGGAAGAATCAAGAATGATGTCTTTGTATGAAAGCCTATTCCCAAATATCAAGCTCTTAGACCTGGTTCAGCAGGTTTTCATCAACATGTCTCATCCAATCAGTCACCAGATTCTTCCACAGAGACAGCAAGCGGTCAACCCAAGAATTTAATTGAAATACCTGATTCAGAAGATTTTCAAGGACTGCCAAATTGTCAGAATCCATCTTATCCTCAACTTCCGGAATTTGATCAACAAACTCAGAGTCATACAATTAATTCTTCTGATGATAATCAATTTCGAGACCAACTAGACGTCTTCACTCCAACTGAATCAATACCTATCAAGGCTTTTAGCTTTTTGGTAATTTTGCAATTAAAATCTTTATAACCAAACTATATTTATTTTCCAGTGTCCAATTCTGCTGCAAATTCTACATTCTCTTTATCTATAATTCATCAAGTTGAAAGCTTCATAAATGAATTATCCACTTGTTATACTCTTGCTCCACTTTGCATTCAATTTCATGGTGAAAATTCTGATGAGAATTATTTCAATCATTGTTCAAACCATGGTATCAACCACAGAGTCGGAATCAGAACAAGAAATCCAGGAACATAAGTTCTTATCCCTGTGTACTGTCACGGTAAAAAAAAACCTGAATATGTATTGGTTGTTTATAATACCAGTAACCAGATTAGAAGACATTGTGGTCCTTATGGATTTTGCTTGGCATGTGACTTACGCAACTGAGTCATTGAGACACTAAATAGTGGGTGGGGTCAACAAAGCTCAATTTGTTTAAGTATTATCTTTATTTATAGACCTTGAAGCAGAATATCATTGTTTCTCTGGTCTTATCCATTTGGTCAGGAGATATCAGGGATAAAACAATAATTTGTGTGGAAAGTTCCAATATCATTGTACAATCATTCATGGGTATGTTGCATTGGAAACCTTTTGTAGCATTACTGCCTTGAGTTACACTCCCATTGACTGTAAACAATAGTGGGACATGTAATTTAACATCTTGGCACATACCATAATAATGGCCAGGTGATTTCTTGGTAGGCTAGGTTTAGAAATATGATCATGTGGAGCAGTGTGGCATTGCTGATGGTTGCTATGGAGTATTACATGTTTGCAAGGGTGTTAAGGCACAGTGAGTTATTTTGGAACAATTCAATACAATGTTATAAGAGGTCCCTGGTTGCGGGCATGCCCGCATATTCTCTAGTGTAACAAATAGGTGAATGTGGGTTAAGAAAGTTTTTTGCTGATTTTTATGAGGTGAGGTTGTGTTCTGATTGCTGATTGTGGGGATAGCGCCCTTTTATATCAATTCAGATCCAAATTGTCAAAAACATGGAGTATGAACATCACACCAGAAACAAAAAGTCCCGCAAAAAGTCGCCAATTGCTATAACCACGTGGTGTGGATGACAAAAGTCATCATAAAGAAAAGTATATTGATCGGTAAACAAAGCCAGCAAAAGAACACGTGTGTAGTCCGAAAAAAAAGAAATAAGAAAAGACAAAATGCATGGTATGCAGTCGGAACAATAACAATAGGAAAAGTTGTTACAAAGGAGTTGGAAAAGCAATCATGGTATGCAGTCGGAACAAAAATTGCTGAAAAGCGATTGGAAAAGCAATAACAATAGGTGGGGCAGAAGATGAATTTGAACTACACGAAAAGCAATAAGAATGGGTGACCTAAAAAGTAATAGAAGCAGAAATCCGAATTCGGGACGGATGGACGGGTAAGAAAACGGACCGGAACTCATGCGAGTGGTCCATCTTTTTAGTATTTAGATATCAAAAACTGTCAAAATCAGATTGCTTTTCACACCACTTTCTATTTCAAGACACCCTCCAAAGATACAAATATCATTCATCTTTGAGCAATTTATGATAAACGGAAGCAAGTCACTTCAATGGTCCATTCAGCTTCAAGTGAAGTTCCTGGTGAACATGATCTGTTAATTTGATTGACTTAGGTACAGATACAGATTCATTAGATATGTATCAGCAGTTCATCAGGCTTTGATTCAGCTTTGATATGACAATGGATCCCATGATACTTGAGCAGGCTAACCAGGGTCAAAGTGACAGATGTGGGTTTTTCATCCTCTTCAATCAACATAAAAATGATATGTTTTAAGTTAGGTGTTGCATGAAAGGGATCTGGAGGTGAATTTTGTAAGTACTCTTCTCAATAGCATGCCTCACTGATAATGTCCAAAACAAGAGTGCGGGTGCTATGGAACATTGGCCAATTCAGGAACCACATAGGCTGTCTATGAATCCCAAAATCACTGGGACTACAGACCTGAGTGCATAGGAGACAAAGTTTTGGCAACTTCATATTGGTGGCAGACTGTGGGATATCATTGGTAACTGAATGTGTGATGAAACCTTCAATTTTGTTTGTGATTGTACTAAAGATTAGTGCGGGTTTTTGCGTATCTCCAGTAAATTCAACTGTCTTCAGAGTATCTTTTGCTGTTTGGTAGATTTGAATGATTGCCTTGGAGTTGGTCTCAAAGTATCTAAACATGAAGTGTTTCAAATTTGATAAAGCTGGTGGTTTCATATCCAATGTTGTCATGTTGAGATAGTCAAAGGTGAGTGCTTCAAGTTTGGGGATAGCCATCAGGAAGTTAGAGAACAATAGTGGATGGTAACACCCTTGTTCTGTCGTTTCCTCCGTGTCTCGTAAGTTCAACTTTTTTAGTTTTTGCAAGTGCTTTGCAGCCTTGACTAACCTTGGAGAAATACTCAAGGAATCAATAAATAACAATGACATTTAATTCAAGTTTTCACCAATTAACCTCAATTAGTCTTGCCGCCTGATCCATAGATATAGCAGATGGCCACTTCTGATCTATAGATTGGGAACAAATGGGACTATTTCAGAGACTGGTCTGTGATATTTAGTGATATTTGAAGTGATTGTAGACAGCACCTTGTTCCAAGCTATTCTTGTTAGGTTGCAATTAGACCAGGTCCCAAATCATAAGATGTTTTACCGGGCATGGTTGATCACAAGGGTGTATCTTTGACCAATTGTCAAGGATAACTTGAGCCAATGTTGACATAGGAAGTTCCAGTGTTTGAAAAGCAAATGGCCTTGTAGTGTCTGACCAAGTTTTAGAAACTAAACACAGCTTGAGGAGTTCAGTGATTGATTTGTGTTCAAGACATTGGTCTGAAGCACTATCAAATTCATCATATCCAAAGTGATACAATCCCAAAACAAATTCGAGAATGATTCCGGACACAATGTTGAATGGTAGCCAACACTTATTAGGTGAGATGAATGAATGAATGATCTGATAAATTGTTCATGGTTGGGTGTCAAAATGAGGAAGACCAGTCATGCTTGATTTTGTAATTGCACTTGCGCTGAGCTGGGATGAGTTGCATGGAAATTGGGGCAAAAAGGTTGTGGTACTTTCACGCTTTTCCATCTTACCAAGACCGTTAATGATGTGTCAAGATATTCCTCAGATATTGAGCTGAAGATGAAACAGATATTCAATATGCCAACTTCTGGCCCTTTGGCCAGTTTTCTTGACCATTAGGATTGTAAGAATCTGTTTGTCCAATCTTATTATCATTTCCCCCCCTATTCCTCGTATTCCTGCCTCACAACCACTGCCAGGCCTGTATTACATTCATGTATATGCATAGCTCCTTGCTGTAAATCGAGTCAAAGCTATTTTCTTGCAGTTTCTATTTTCTCCTTATGCATAATCAAAAGCATTCAAGAAGAAAGATTTGATCATTTGAGAATTGGTTAAAAATTCTACATCTTGCAAGCAGATGATTTCGAAATCCTGTCATATTTATTTTTGAAAAAAGGGAAATGAGGTTGTATATAACTTCAAGGTTTAAAATTTACATGGAACTCCCTTTTTGGTTTTTCAAAGAAAATGGATTGGTCAAAGTCTCTGAGTTTTATAAAGTAACAGCCATCTTTTATTTTCAAAACAGTCAATTTTTTATACATACATCAGTTTATTCTACAATCATGATCCTGAAGACCTCCCATCTTGAATTTGTGTCATCCAATTTGGTCATCAAGTTGAATTGACCCATCCCCCAACCTCAGAATTTCAAAGGATTTTGAACAACTGTCAAATCCTTGTTATGTTTACTTGACTCCCCTTTTCATTTCTAAACGCCCATCCATATACATGATATAGTCCATCTTTAAGGATTGGATGATCAAAAGAAGCAATTCAGTTAGGCGGTCCATTGAACTTGATATCGAGTTTCTGATGATCAAGAGATATTAGTTCAATTAAACCAAAGTATGAACATTCAAAAGAAACATACCATCAACTTTTCAGGCTTTGATTCAGGCCTCATATGACAACGAATCCCATAAGTCTTAAGATCTTCCACCAATTTCAAAGTGACTGCTGAGCAGCCTCCACTTGATTCATCTATCATAAAGATGATATGTTTTAAATTTGGTGTGTTCTCAAATGGACTCTTACCTCCACGTTCTAAGTGATCTGTTAAATAATATGCCCCTTCATAACTATCCAAAACAAGAGTTCGGATAGAATGAAAGATTGGCCAATTGAGGAAATGTTCAAATCTTCCAAACCTATCGGGTTCTCGAAAAAGCCGAGTACGAAAAAGACGAAGTTTTGGAAACTTCATATTCTTGGCCGACTGAGGAATATCATCTTCAACTATATAGGTGATAAGTCCTTCAAGCGTGTTGGCGATAGGACCAAAGACCAGTCTGGCATCCTTGAAATCTCCACGGTATTCAATTATCTTCAAACTTTCTTTTGCTGTTTTAACGATGTGGCCAATTGCATCGAGGTTATTAGGAAAAAATCTGAAGTTGAAATATTGCAAGTTTGATAGAGCTGGTGATTTCAACTGAAACCACATCAAGACGACATATTCGAGCGTGAACGCTTGGAGTTTGGGAACAGCGACGAGCAAGTCTGATAAGGATTGCGGAACGTAACCCGCTGGTAAATCATAACCCTCTCCATCTTGTATGCATAACTTTTTTAAATCTTTGATGCGTTTCACAGCTTTGACCAAATTTGGTGCGATACCGAACCCATCAACAAACAACATTGTCAACTCGTTCAAGTTTTCTCCAATTAATTCGATGAGTTTTACAGCCTGATCCATGAATATAACCGTAGATTTGAGACCTGGAAAGTAGAGGTAAACAAGATCTTGTCAGAAACCAATTGATGCTATGCGGATAAAGAGATTCCACAAATTACCTTTCACAGACTTCTCGTTGGTATGGTCTACAAAAAACAAGTCTTGAATTATAAGACGCTTTACCGGGCATGGACGATCGGGAGCCTGAATTTTTGACCAGTTGTCGAGAATCACTTGAACCGCTTTGGAGGAATGAAGTTCCATACTATGAAAAGCGAATGGGATTACAGCCTCTGACCAAGTTTTAGAAACTAAACGAAGTTGAAGAAGTTCCGTGATTGATTCATGGAGAAGGTATTCGTCAGAGGAAGTATCATGGTCGTCGTATCGATAGTGACCCAAGTCAGACACAAATATGTCGACAATTTGAGACACAATGTCATATGGTAGCCAACCCTTGTCAGGTGGAGTGGATGATTGAATCGAAAGGTTGGTCATAGTTGTGTAACAAGGTGGTTTTAACAATAGGTGTGGTTGAGTTTGAGATGAAAATATTGAAGGAAAGCGATCTTGAATGATGTCTTGATGGAAGGATATCGATCCAAACGCCGGAATTGGCACAATTGATTCGACTGCCGAGAGAATAAGGAAACCGGATATGTCAGGGAAGGATTCAGAGTGAGTTGGTTTCTTCTCCAAGTAAGGGCTATCGTACGATTTAGATATAGACAAAGTAACCACCGGTGCTTCATTCATCATCATTCCTCATCCAGATCATTGCCCTGCGTTGGGGATGTCCAGTATGTCCTGCTGTCACTGAGGCATCACGTGCATAGATCGTCATGACTCAGCCGTCTCACCAACATTTCTCATTTCAACAGCTCTTGTCACTCTCCTTGGTCTTGTATCCTGAGGCTGCCTCTTATCTTGCCTGACTGATATTGCAAACGGTGACCCATAAGACATGTCGCGATGAGCAACCCGTCCGTAGATGGTGCACAAGGTATGCCGCTAGATCAATCAATTCAACTTCTCGTCCTCTCCATGAAAGCTTGGAGATGTGTGGTAGGACCAAACGGGTATTTTGTCATCCTTGTTGCCACCTTTATACCGTAAAACTAGTCTTATCACACTAGGAATATGACACATGAGGGGATTAGTCAAGTCAGCGTTTCCACAGCTTTTTTCACTTGTCAATTATGTGTGCGAACTGCAGCTTCAAGACTTGTTTCCGTGCAAAGAAAAAATGACGCAGATAAACTCAGTGGGAACTTGGAAGTTGATTGGAGATTCTAAATCCCTCAAGGATGTGTTTCAAAGATCCTGAAATCTTGTTTCTAGAAGCTGGCCAGTGAAAATCTACAATCCTCTTGTAAAGCTTCCGAGTTGCTAATCTCATTCACAAGTTGAGGACGTTACTTTCACTCATTGAATTTGCCAACAATTGCCTCCCTCCTCTCTACAGCAATGTTTGACAAAACCGCTTTAGAGAAGCACTCCTCCACTGTAAATCTCAGTGTAAATATTCTTCACCTATTTCAAGTGCTTTGTCCTGAAGATACATGAAAAGCACAGTAAACCAGGACATGCAGGTGCAGAAAGAGACGCTTCAAGTTCCACTGACAACAAGTATTTATCAATGTGCTTTGTGTATATCTATTTTAGAAACCTCACTCTTGAACTTAATTGAACACCAAATGGATGTAAGATGTACTTGTTGTATCTTGAAAAAAGTGCATAGGCTTTCTTTTGACATCAATTTAAGTCTGTGCAAGTCATAAGGAGTGTTGATCTACTGTTGCATTCTTGGGAGAGAAGTCTGTATACTTGTTTACATACATCAATGCGATTTACAATCATATATACTGAAACGTATGGATATTGATACTTATCGAATTCATCTCTTCTGTGGAGGTTTCAAAGATTATGGACAAACAGTCAAATCCAAAGTCTCATGTTTCAATCTCCTTCCCATTTCCAAGCAAAAATCCATACGGCAATGTCATTGATCATTGTGAATTTGTGACAAGCCAAAGTGATTCACTTCATTGGCCCGTTGAGCTCGTCATCTAGTGCCTGATCATCACATTCTGTTAGTTGAAATGACGCAGGAAATGTAGTTTCAATTGACACGTACCATCAATTCATCTGGCTTATAGTAAGGCCGCACGTGAGATTGGATTCCATAGGACTTGAGAGTTTCAACCAGCGTAGAAGGCACGCTTGTTGGAACATCCTCTTTCGGATCCAAGATGAAGACGATATGTTTGAGGTGAGGTGTCATATGAAATGGGGAAAGATAGTCTCTACAGAGAGCCTTTAAATAAATGAGCCCGTGACCGATTCCTAGTACGAGCATTCGGATGGTATGCATGATTGTCCAATTCATGAAATTTCGGGGAGTGTCATCCCAATCGAAGGGACCGGGATTGGGACAACAGTAAGTGTGTAGAATCCGAAGTCTTGGAAATTTCATATTGATGAGAGACTCTGCGACATCGTGAATTGCAAACAGAGACAGAACTTCAAGTGTGCCCTGGATAGGGCCAAATATTTGGTTTCTATTCCTCAAATCTCCGTCACACGCATATCCAATGATTTTTAAGGTTGCTTTTGCTGTCTCACAGATGTGAGCGATGGTATGCCGGTTGACCTCTCGAACCAGGAAGTTGAAGCAGCGCAACTTCGATAGGGCCGGTGGTTGTAACTCCAATGGTTCGAAGGGAACCCATTGAATATCCAAACATTCCAGACCTGGGATGGCATTAAGAAAATCCGATAAAGAATTTGAATCGTAAAGTCCGACACGTATCCGACCAAGTTCATGGCCTTCGTCGAGGTTTAACCTTTTTAAATTTTTAATGCACTTTATAGCCTTGACCAAACTAGAAGGAAAACCAAAAGAATCAATGGATACAAGTGTCAACTCGTCCAGGTTTTCGCCGAGCAGCTTAATAAGTTTCGCCGCCTGATTTATGAATATAGGACGGTGCTTCTTCCATACTATAGATTGTAATTAAATTAGAATAGAAGGTTTCAGTAAGTGATATTGAATAGTTGAAAGATTCTAGGAATCACCTTTTCTTACACCTTTCTCATCTTCAGGTCGTAGCCAAATCAGATCTTCGATTATTAGACGTCTTACGGGGCATGGACGATCAGGAGCGTAGACTAAACTGGACCAGCGTCTGAGAATAACTTCAATCCCTTTAAGTTTGGACCTATGAATTCGAAGAGTCCGAAAGGCAAACGGTATCGTAGCCTGTGACCATACTTTAGAAACCAAACGAAGTTTGAGGAGTTCTGAGGTTGATGTTGGGTTAAGATATGGGTCTGCTCCACTGTCGTGCTCCTCGTATCGATAGCTCATCAATTGAGAGACAAAAATGTCGACAATTCGAGACACGATTTCATATGGCAGCCGAAACTTTTCAGGTGTGTTCAGGGATTGGTCCAGTAGATTGTCCATCGTTGTTGATTTGTTGTGAATTTCTCGGATCAAAGGACAACGGAAGGGACAGTTCTTTTTCAAGCAAACTGGATCAGAGGGGATCCTTGTTTTGCGTCTGTCCAAGGTAAACAAGTTGACATTGGTTGACAGCTTCCAGCCAAAAATTCCACTGGGACAACCGGGTTTTTTGAAACTGGGTCAGGTTTGAGGGCCACTAATACTCTATCCACTGAAAGTGATTTAAGGGTCTATACTGGTGTAGACCATTGAACAATTGAAAGTGAATACTTGAGACGGCTAAGATCGTAGACTGTGGTGATTCGCTGTGATTAAGGAAGTGGTGTTCTGACTCTGAGGGTTGAAAATTCTTCACCGGTGACCCGAGGTTACCACTTTCTTCATTGCGGGTTGCGTCCCATGTCACTGAAGTGACATAGGAAGACTCTATGTCTATCACACTCTCTCAGCTCCTTAAAATATGGAAACTCTCCACATGTCGTGCCTTTGGTGTGAAGTTACCATAAACTGCTCTCAAGGGTCTTTGAACTCGTGAAGTAGCAATCAATGCTTAAAAGATCCCTTTGCGTTAAACTTATGGCAATGCAAGCTTTGCATGCAACTCTATGCAACCTCCCAGTCTGCCTCTTCAGATTCAATTTCCAACTTTTCAATCAGTCTCAATCTTCTCATGCTTTAAGCGCTCTACATATATTTGTTGAAATAGCCATCTGGCATCATCAACTTGAGCTGAGTCATTCAAAATCCTGGATGTTGTAAATATCAACCAATCATGATGTGATGGACTTTTCCAATTGTGGTCATCACCCCCAACCCACGGATCTACACTTCACAGGCATCAAGAGAGAAGTTAAAAAAAGCCTTGAATTCCATGTATTTTTTCCCTTGCTTTCAAAGATATCAGGACCAATACAATATTTTCATTATCGTTGAAACGTGGATCAGGAACTTACATGAACTTAGAAAGGAAGCTTCTAAATGAAGCGCGAGTTTTGGGCCAACACCCAAGGCAAATAGCCCCGGGACAATGAATTCCCCCATAATGACAACAACACCCTACGGGGTGGACAGCGGACACAAAAACTACTAAAGAAGAGATAAAGGAAGAAGGAACTAATAATGAGACTAAATTGTAAGGAGAACCAAAAAATAGAATAAACAGGCAGCTACGCAAACACATATATCTCTCTCTTTTTTTTTAAAAAAAAACTAAGAAGAGAAAGAAAGAAAAATTGGAATAAGACAAAAACCAAGCGCAAAATAAATAAAATAACGCACAGAATAATCATGAAATCAATAAAAAAAAGGAAGAAAAAAGAACCAAAGAAATAATAATAATAGGATAAGTCAAAACACAAAAAATGTAGAATAATAATTGAAACAAAGAAATAATAATCGACAAACTAAAAATAATAGGATGAGGGCGGGAGGGCCGAAAAATACACTCTTAATAGAATAATTGACAATGAAGTGGAATCGAGAAGGAAACGCTAAAAAGGATAGATGTGCTGGAATGGTAAACAGCTGGTGGTAAACAGCCAATGACCTCATTGATGTCAAGTAAATGTAACTGTAGATATCCGATGAGAGTCAGTACCGTAGCACATCTAATCCCTGTTCCCTTCTGTTAATAACAAGTTACCAACCACAAGTAAATTGGGTGGCATTGATAGTAGACACAATGTCAATATCATCGTAGCACATCAACATGCACACACAGAGAGTTTTGAGATGAATCTGAAAGTCTTTTGGTCAGATTTAGACTGAGATTGTTCTTCAGCACCCTTTGTGAACAATGATTCAGTTATAGCATTCCCAGAATCCTTTGGCATCAGCTGGGGTCAACAGACTGTCAACATTCCAGTTTATAAAGGGAATATGCGTCTGTTGTGGAACCTTTTCAATAGGTATTTTGAGGGTCTAAGGAAACTACTTTGTGTGTGCACAACAACATGCCACAAGGATACAAACACGGTGAGAAGGACAAAACTACATGACATCAGTATCACCCTTTGAAAATGAGCTGGCGGCTTGACCACATCATTTATTTTCAAGCTCCTGAAAAACTAGAGCAAATAAACTAATTTCCCAAGCTCTGTTAACTAGCGCAACTCAACAAGTTTGGACACTTCTTTGACTCAAATATTGAAACAGCACAGTGGGAGATACTTTGCATTGCTAGCATTATGTATTTTCAGTGGTTTCAATATTATATTTTATTCATCCAAAATAAATTTCTATACCAGCTTCATAACTAGAATTTGAAAACACATCAAATAAATTTGTATCCTTTCCCCCAGAAGCTCTTGTCAATCTCCTTACCCATAACTGAAAAGCAATCAGATCAATTCATTTTTGGAAAGGACTTTGAAGCATCAATACTATGTACTACTTGAATGATGAATACGTTGACATCCCTTGGCTCTAAACAAGGATTAAAGCCAGTTATTCTCGTATAAATCGACATATCTTGCCCTCTTGTAACTCAAAATTTAAATGCTAGTTATTACGTTCCACCAGAATGGTCGGAGTGAGCAAAATATCTAATCACATTTCAAACTTGCCGCAGTGAAACATTTTGTCCTCCTTACAGCCCCTCCATGCTTCTTATGAAGTCGAACAATTACTTGTGGCACATCATACTGTAGAATCCATTTAGCTTGCAACAAGCAATTCAGCACAATACCAAACACACACTCTCACGCTTTCAATACAAATGGAAATCCATCGTAACTGGTGTGAGGGCCAGCTTGTGGCCTGTAGGCGACATAATTTGGGATAGCTCAGTAGACCAGGCGATTCGGGCGCCAAGAGAAGCCCACACATACATGATGTAGTCAATCGCTTTCCAACTTGATTGTAAGATATGTACCATCAATCATACTGAAGATCTTTGGTCTTGAAAGTACTTCTTCCACTTTCGTCCATCAACTACAAATCATTAAAACCTCAAAGGATTATAATATACAAAAAAGTCTCTGTGCTGTCTTATAATTTGCTCTAATTCTCATTTTCAAAAACATCGTTCATGTTTGAAATTTTCATGATAAGCAAAACTCATTCACGTTGCTGGTCCATTGAGCTGCAGATCCAGTTCCTGTGAATCAAATCCTGTTAGTTTAATGGCCCAGGTTATATGTTTCAGTTGATGCGTACCATTAATTCATCAGGTGTTGCTTCAGAATCAGGTATGGTCCAGCATTCAATCCCGTAATCCTCAAGATCTTCAATCAAGTCAGCATCTATTTCCGGGTCGCTATAACCTTCCCAAATGATGAAGACAATGAGTTTCAAGTAAGGTGTTGCACTAAATGGGCCAAGTTAAGAAAAATGCTGGGATTTCCTCTTCATCAAAGTACGGAGTCTTCCGAGTTCTTAACAAACGTAGTTTTGGAAATTTCATATTGATGGCATCTTCTGGAATATCCTTGTTCACTAAGAATGTAACAAGACCTTCGAGTGTGTTTTGGACAGGGCCAAATATTCGTTGTGCTTCTTCAACTTCTTCAAGATGAGAGGTGTATTCAATAACTTTCAAAGTATTTTTTGCTGCCTCTATGATATTAGCGATCGCATCGAAGTTAACCTCACGATATCTAAAGTTGAAATATTGTAAATTTGATAGAGCAGGTGGTTGTAATTCCAATCTCTTCAAGACGGTCCATTCAATAGACAAATTTTTGAGGTTAGGGATGGCGACGAGGAGTTCAGCGAAAGAATCTGGATTATGAGCCCCTCGGTGTCCACTACATATTTGTCCATCCAAGACATTAAACTTTTTTAGACGTTTCATCCCCTTCATAGCTTTGACTAAACTCGGAGAAATACCGAAAGAAGCGCTAAACATCAATGACAATTCCTTCACATTTTTCCCGATCACATTGATCAGTTCTGCCGCTTGTTCCATACAGACCGGAGATTTTTTCAGACCTATGACTTGGAGACACGAAAGAATGATTCAGAAACCAATCGATCACAGATAGAATGGTTCTAGAAATTACCTTCTTTCTTTATTTTCTTTTCATCCTCAGGTTCCAAATAATATATGTTTTCAATGATAAGACGCCTCACCGGGCATGGTTGATCATGAGAGTAGCTCAAAGTTGACCATTCTTCGATAATAACTTGAGCCATCTTTGAATTGTGAATATGTAGAGAATCAAAGGCAATTGGTGTAATCATCTTTGACCATGTTTTTGAAACTAATCGAAGTTTGAGCAGTTCAGTGATTGATCGCGGGTGGAGGTACATTTCTGAAGAAGTATCGCGATCGGCCCAACGGTAGCTTAACAATTCGGAGGCATACGTCTCGACAATTTGAGATACGATCTCGTATGGTAACGAACGCTGGTCGGATGTGGGTGCTTGATCTGGTAGCTGATTCATAGTTGTTTGATTTGATTTGAGTGCCTGGAGTCAAGGAATGATAAGAGTCGAGGTTCCTGCGGTACTGAAATGGATCCAGAAAGTATCGCTAGTCACAGACATGCTTTCGTCTCCCGAGGTTTATTTCTTTTATATTCGTACAACTGGAAGTATTGCTTGTCTTTGAACCGATCATTGGGTATGTACACCAGTATGGCCATGCTCAGGAGATGGCGATAGTATGCTCATGGAGGCTCATGGAGCACACTTCTAAAAAAGGAAGGGCGAGAAGGTTGGTCTGCTTCTTCACCATCTGGACAGGAGAACAAAGTTTGGGCCGGACCCAGCCTCTTTTGATCTCAGACGGGTATTGATTGAGGCCCAAAAGTTGAAAAACCCTTGTCCCTCAAGTCTTAAGTTTTTTAGGAGCCAAGGCTATTTATCGAACCCTGCACAACCACATTCTTGGACTATCTTTTCAGAAAGATCACTCAATCCTTTCTTCTCCATTTTGAGTTTTGAGTCTTTTTTATCTTTTCACTATCAAGTATGGCCCCCTTCTGAGATCAATAGAGCTGGATGGTGATGTCTATGATAAGCTAGTTTAAGGAATCTGTTGATGCAAGGCTTCCAAAGATACTCTTGGCTTCTCAAAAGCTTGAGCTTTAAAGGAGTTTAATGGTTTTGGGGATAAATCAATACCCGGCTGAGATTGCAAGAAACCTGCTGGCAGCCAATATATTCACTTCGAAGTGAAGTGGAAATCAAATCTTCATGTAAGAGCACAGGAAGGTGTCAGCTGACCCTGTGGAGTTTGCAAATGGTCCGCACTGCAACATTGCAGCTACCCGGATCTGTGGTGTCAGCTGCTTGTGTGTAGTACCATGTCCAATGAGCCAGTGGTTGCAACAATACTTCACAATCTACAATAGGACCCATAATGCACAAGGAAGGCCGCTGGGTTTATCATCAATTGAGACTTAAGTGATACCAATAATGTATCAATCGGGTTCTGACCTGGAGATTCTTGACTTGCCCGGGACCAGCTCAAGGTTAGACCAGGTCAACCCAGTCCTGTAGCCCAAACTCAACAACAGCCACTAAAAAAACCAATGTCCCATGAAATTGATACCAGATATGCTCAAATCCTGGATTGGACTCCAGATACCTTTATAAAAGCCTAGGATGGGACCAGTAGTGCATAGAAATTCAAATCTTTAGAGACATGATATCATTTGCTGTGGAAATTAAGGATCATTTCACCAAAACTTGTATGTTGTGCCAACATTTTCTTGAGTCTTTCTGATCTGAGTTCTGATGATCACCTCTAAGCTTGTTTGGGGTTCAAGATCTGACAATATGTTAAGGCCTGCACTCTCTGGTTGACAAGGAAGAGGTCTGATGGGTGTCTGAGTTAATATGAGTAGTTTTCTGATGAGGTACAAACACTGCCACATCTACAACTAAAGTACGGACTCTATCTGTGACATGAGCATACAGATGTCAACAAGCTGTACTCATAACAACAACCCAAAAATAAGATCAGTGGCCAATGGCGTAGACAAAGAAGACTTCACAACAGCTTGAGACAATTTCCAAGTATGTAGTTGCAGATTTCCTAAGCCAACTTGAAGACAACCTCCACTTAGTCATCATCAATTGGGCCAACAAGGCTTACTGTCAAGTTCCAATGTTGCCAGACCAATGGCAATTTTTGACAATCATCACGTTTGACAACATGTGGTGGGTGTGGCGCATTTTTTCTGCCTTTGGACGCGCCCGGCACAGCCTTTCTCTTGGACTTGGGGGTGGGTGCACCCCACATACTCCAGAGTACATAACATGACTTTTGACCTATACCACAGTGATATCTTGACCAAGAAACTGAAATCCAGGCACCAAAGGGCTGGATTCAAACCCCTAATCACCTGGTTGAAAGTATTCAAACAAATATTCACTATAACTGGATGTAAAACTGTGTCTGGTTGGTCAATTTTTCACCTGATCCACAATGTCTGCAATAACACAGATTGGTACCCTTGTGAGAATTTGCAATTTCAAGCTGAAATTGATGTTGATGAACTAATATCAGGTGCAAATGTAAATGTAAATTTTGTACAATTGTTCTTGATGTATATCAACCCAATGTGATTTTATTGTTTTTATTTGCGCCTCTTGAGCCCTCTTGTGTCTCTTGGTCCCTCTTGCGCCCCCAGCCAAATAGTGGGTGCACCCGACTCCCCTTGGGCGCGACCGGGGACGTCTTTTTTGAGAAATCATGCCCACCCCATGAGTTCAAAAACAAAGTTCTCCTAAATACAAGGATCACCATGAGTGGGGTGGCAGGTTGTGGCAGCTTTGGAAGGGTGGCAGACGCCTGGAAGGCGGTCAGGCTCAGCCATTTTCCGCTACAAGCAGCATTTCAGTGGGTTGACAACACCATGTTTGTCAAGACACGCAACAAACACCCCAATTTCAAATTAGCCAACGTATCCAAATTTACAATGGAGATGGAAATCAACAATTATCAAGAGAAACATGTGTAAGGAGTACACAAGTACATTGTGTGCATGGGTTTAGATTATGGGATTAGCCAGTGGGCATTATACCTTTGTGATCCACGCCCAGTTCCAGATAGTCCTCACTCCTCAGAGAGCCTTCTATGGGACTTTCTTGAATCAGGTGAGCGTAGTTCTTTTACTTTCTCTATGTTGTTCTATTTCAATTTTTCTTGTTACTGACTCCTCCGAGAGCCTTCTATGGGACTTTCTGGAATCAGTTTGTAATTCATATAACAAAGTTCCAAGTTATTTGTCCCCTCAATGCGCAGTAAAAAGGCTGTTGGTGAGCTCACAGAAAAGGGGAAAACAAGAATTCCCCCGCAAAGAATTCCTTACTCCTCAGGCCAAAAAGTCAAGTTTTGATGTAAGTCCCTCCAGTGAAGACATCCTGATTCAACTTGTTGATTGACAGGTGTTGAGCCTTGTGGGACTTTGTTAAGTCAGTGGCTTTCTGGACTTTGCAACATCCACCATCACAATATGCCTGACAAGCTTCACCTCAAGTACCCCTTCAAGTAAATTTATCAACAAGAAAACAACACAACCACTTTTCTCAACTTACTTCATTCAACCCCAAGTTTCATCTGAAGAAATCTGAATCACTATTAATCAACTAATTCAAGTTTTTACCAATCATCATTAGAGCGCAATCCATTTGATTCATAAACTTGCTCAACAATCAACATCATAAATTGAATTAGATAGATATTACTCTTGTTTGAGATCCAAGAGTTTCTTTTTGTATCATTGAATAGAACTTGTTCCTATCAATCTTTTGAATGTGATTGATTCAATTCTTCAACTGAGTCCACAATCAACATCAGTTATCAATTCAAATAGATATTGATCTTGTTCAAGATCCAAGAGCTGCTCTTATCTTTTTTTGTACATATCATCAAATAGAAGTTGTTCCTATCATTCTTTTGAATGTGATCAATTTAATTCTTGAACTCGGTCCACAGTTAACATCAGAAATTGATTCAAATACATAGATATTGATCTCGTTGAAGATTTAAAATTTTATATCAATCTTTTTATGTATCATTGGATAGAACATTTTCCTATTGATCTTCAACAACAGCTAATCTAATTTGGAGTCTTGTCAGTTGAAGGATCAGACATCGATCTTGTTCAAAATCAAGGTTGTTCTTTCAAAACATGTTCTTATCAATGTGTTTCTATTGATATTTTCATACACAAATATAATATAAATCAATATATTCATTCATCCATTTCAGGCCATCTTGTGGTTTATGAGGACAGAGGTGTGGAAGTGAGGTGAAGAGTGAGAGGTGGTTGAGGGGGGAGATGTAGAGGCCTCAATCAGCAGCTGCATGGTTGGATGAGGCTGTCTTGTGGATCCTAGGGGCAAAGGGCATTCAAATTAGTTTTTTTCCACAAGTCCACGAAGCCAGAACACAGCCAAAATTTTCTTTTCTGGCTTTGTGGAAAATCATTCTGGAACCTTTGTGGAAAAGTTCCAGAAGAACTTTGTGTACGATGAACGTTGGCTGGGTAGGAGACGCTTTGAAATCCTATGGTATAGGGATCATAATAGTCCAAACGTGGTGCAAGTTTTGTCTTTGAAGTTAGGGGAAGACAATTCCTAATGCTCACAGACAATGCAGTTGCGGAGTACACAATGTGCAATGGCAAGTCAAGAGATTGTAAGGTGAACAGACAGTGGACAAAGATTCAGGAGTTACTGATCAGCAATCACACTTGCATAGAGGTCAAAATAGTGGAATCAGATGATATTGCAACAGACATTTTGTCCAGGGGTTGATTCATTGAAAGGTGTGTTGCTTATGCTGAAGCTCCCAATCCTGGGGAACTTTGAGAAACTGCTTGTGCAAGAGAGATAACAGAGGCAAGAGAGGAAAGTAGGTCAGAAAACCAGAACACAGAGGAAACACCAAGTCAACTCTGAGTTATACCTTCAATATCCTCACTCATGTGAATCAATGCCAAATCTTCCAAAGCATTTCCTAGAATTCTAATGCCATCAAGTCATTGTGCATAAGTTGAATGAGCAGAGTTAGCACTTCTTCTTCCAGATCAAAAAAGCCAACAAGATAGCAAAGTCTCCAGCTCAATGAATTAATAGCATAAAAAACACTTTTGAGAGTGTCTGTCTTGCTGTCATGAGTGTTGGTGGGCTTTTGAATAGGAGCGGGTAGGAGTGCAGTAAGCTCTTCAGTGGTGTAGAGTGATTTGTCTTGCTCCTGTAGAGACTCTATATCAATTCCTTCATCTATGTTTGCCACTAGAGCTTGATGTGAGGAATCTGTATGACTTTGAGCATTGCTCTTGGCTTCACCATCTTTGGGCTTTCTGAGATCTCCTTCTTTGGTCTCTTGATGGTCATAATTTTTGGCTTCTGTTCATTGAATATCATTTGGGGGGATGGTGCACCCAGAGCAAACTGAGATAGCTGCCATATTCTATGAAGTCTCTTGTTACCAAATTGTTCTTCATCATTGGATGAAACCAAATCTTTGGCTAACATCTTGAAAAATGATGACTTGAGTAGATTTTTTGTTGGGGTTTGGTAAATGGATCAGATGAAGCAAGGTGGCAAGGATCTTTTCAAAGGATGAGGAGTTGTTGGTAAGCAATGAAGCATGGAGTAGAGCAGTTGGTAAATCCACAATCAAATAGTTCATAGGGAGCTTCCAGGTATTCAGTGGGGAACACTGAGCGTTCAGCGGGAACACTGAGTGTGCAGTTGGTGTTCAGGTCTGCTTGTCTCCCGCTCTGCCTGAGCCTTGACTCAGACTGATGAAGTTCAGCCTAGGTGATGTTCATGCAATATTTACCCTTTGTGTACATTTGTAGACATTTGTGACACAAAATCAGACAAATGCAACACACTTGCCAAGACTGTTGGGCCCCCAACATTGGGGGCCTTCTCCATGGGCACTGTGATGACCGCTTCTTGAACAATTTTTCACAAAATCTCCAATTGCACATTCTTTTCAAAAAGCACTTCTCTACATGTAGAAAAGCAGTCACCCAGAATGTGATTTCTCAAACTCCGCACTAAGTGAACATGGCCTAAGGGATTAATCCATGTGTAATGATGTCATTGAGAGATTTAAGGGTACCAAGAGTTTTTAGAATGATTTTTATAGTTACTCTTATATATTAATTGATCTAGGACAATCTTATGATAAAGAAGAAATCAATATTAGATGTGAAACAGAGTGAAACTGGTCAAAGAACATCAAAATTGACGGTTTTCAGCTAATTACATATGTCAAAACTTGTCAGATCAGGATGGGTGATAGCTTCATCAATGTGAAATGTTTCACTTCATAATGTACAAACTTTGAACCTATAATAATGGAGGATTTGTGAAAAAGTCATAAGGAAATAAAGGAAATGATGTGAATTTTGACTTTTGTGCTTACATACACACACAGGAAACAAGAGACAATTTTCCCGCGGGAAGACCGATTACACATAATGTAGTTTCTGAGCCATAATGTACAAATAACACAGATATAACACCAAAATAATACATTTTGGCTCATTAACTGAGTCAGATACAATTGGTTTTTCCGCGGGAAAATTGTCCCTTGTTTCCTGTGACACATGTAGCAACATTTACATGTCAAAAAGCTTATTTTATCAGTCTCTACAACTCAATACCTTATTCATCAGACATCAGAAGTAGGTCATAATGGGGAAATAAACGATCAGGATCAGGCGAGCTACAAAATGAGCTATGGTAATCCCAGATTGGACAGCTTCACAAAACAGTTGTAATTCCAAAAATGGGTTTAAGCTATGGATATTAGGAAAGAATCACCGGTATTGATCATAGGAAGATCTATTAATCATTTTGAAACATCAGTTGATTAATTTCACAGCTTAAATCACATCATTCATTGATAATAATTACATCATAAGATTATATCAGTGGGTTTTTGAGGTTTTTGAGGTTTTTGTTGGTTTTTGAAGGTTGTTTACCATTGTTGAAAGATTGAAGGGATGATATATACTATTGGTTGTTGTTTTTGCGGGCCTTGTTCACCTTTTTACTCATGCTATACCTTTGTCATAGTGGTTTTAAACATCATTAAATTACTATATTGGTACCAAGGTCACTTCAATACCCAAACTGCTCCAAAACGCAATGAAATTTGACCCAATTTCATTGCGTGTCAGAGTGACCACTACCAGGATTTGGTGTGCAGGACCCGCTATGAACTGTGGAGGTCATAGTGGGTACCAATACCGCTCCAATACCGCTCCAAAACCACTATTTGGAGTGGAGCGGTTTGGGTATTGGTCACTTAAATCAGCCCCTTCAGGCAAGGAGAAATTTATTGTGTTAAAGACTATGGCCGCGTTCACTTAAGCACATTTTTGCAAAAAATCGCTTTTTTGAATGTTGAGAATTCACATTCTGTGGAATGCGTTTGATTTCTTATTTACAAGCATTCTGTAAATCACAGAATGCTTAAAAAAAGGCTTTTTTGATCGCTTTCCAAGAATTCGATAATATCACATTTTTCCCTCTAGAAATCAAATTCTGTGATTTATTTTCTCAACCTTTCCTGCCAATTGATATGTATATAAACTCTTCCTGAAATTTCCAAGGTACCTTCCACCGTACAGAACCCTCTCAAAATCCTTCTCAAAACCCATCCTCCATCACCATCCTCGATCGATCCCATTCTCAACTCAGCTTGTATATCAATCATTCGATTTTTGTTTCTCATTCTCAACCCAAGTCACCTTATACAGCATGCCAAATCCAATAAATGAGGAAGAGTCGATTGGAGACTGTGTTGTATTTGACGTGACTTTCTAAACGACTTCTGTTTTCAGATGAACAACAAGCAGGAGTACATATCGATTTGAGAAAGTGCACGCAATTGACAAGTTTGATGATGATTCTTGTTTTGTAAGAGAATATAGGGTCTTTGCCATCACTCAGAGGTTGAGAAACGTGATCTAAGATGATAGTAGGTGTAGCAGGACAATGTTGAGTCCAGTATTGAATGCTTTAATGTCGATTGAAGGATCTTGAAGTTGATGATAAGCGTTGAGATGATTTAGTAAAGAACGGAAAGAGATCAACATGATCTACACATGAAAACTTCGCTTAATTTCTCTTTAATCAAACACTCCATGACCTCTTTTGTCAAGAAACTTGAAATTTCATTTTTTTACAAAATTTGCTTTTCTACATGTAGAAAAGCGGTCAAGTAGAAAGCGATTTCTCCAAAGCCAGCTTAAGTGAACGCGCCCTATAAGTCTCTTTGGGAATAATACTTACAACATTATTGCTAGTGATTGATACAATTTTGTAGACTTTTTGAGCTTTAAAACTGGAACAATACTTATAATAGTATTGAGATCATTTCTCTGGTGCTTTATATTTTTCTCTGTTATCACAAAGTGGTTGGCAAATGCCTTTGTGCTTCTTTGTTTGAAGAGAAGGCAGTCTTGAGGCAACTTCTACTATTCATAAATTAGTACATTATCCCTTCTTAGGTGTTGTAAAGCTCTTATTGAGCTTTAAATACTACACCATTTGACCTCTTCACACAAGCTCAAACAAATAGATTTGATGCATTTGAAGCCACCAAACAATGCACAACTTGAGTTGAATAATTGTCAGTAAACTCTATCTGAGTTGAGAGAGATGCATCAGATTTGAAGACAATGTGTGCAATGTGATGAGGGATCAAATTTTGTTGTTCAATCAACTTGAGAGAATAAAAATAAAGAAAAAGTTTGCTCAGTTTTTGCAAAACTTGATGAGTTTTTGAAGAAACCTTGCAGGTTTTTTTTGGAAAACTCAAGCATTTTCTCCTTTTCCAAAGTCATCAAGATCTCAAATGTGTACAGCTGTTGTAATATCCATTGGCATATTTTGAGAGCTTTGTGTTGTTGCTGGATTTAATGTAGAGGTCAAAAACCTGAAAAAGCCCTTTTGTGATTGATAACTCTACTGCCCATTGGTCCAATCTGCACCAGGACAATAGAGTTCAGTCTGAAAGTGATATAAATTTGAGTTTTTGACTTCAAAAGTCAAATCTGGCAACAACCAAACTCTTCAAAAAGCTGCCAGTAGCTCTTACAACAGCTGTAACATTCTTGTTTGCAATTATAAAAGTTATTTGCATAGTGGACCAATAGTTCTCACAACAGTTGTAGAGTCTACAACATATTTAAGCTAAGGATGGGGGCATCAAATTCTATAGTGCTTTTTTGCTTTGAAGTCCTACAACTTCAAGGGAGGCCCGTTCCAAATACAAATTTGAACTTTATGATTGCACTCCAGCTCTGTATCAGATTTTTATAATCACACGGTTCAAATCTTCCTTCTTCAAAATTTCAATGTTTTCTAGTTTGCAGGCAACTATTGTTCCAGGCGCTTGGTTCCTGCGTGAAACCAGTGCCTCTTCTGCAATATGGCTGAGCTGGGATTCAAGTCGCGATTCCTACTGTACTGGTACCACATTTTGAAGGCAAGTAGTCCCAGCGGGGTATGATCAGTAGCAGTTGTGTGGATTCTGAAAAGTATCAAGTCCAACCTCGCCTTATTTGAGCTGGATGATACCATATCTGGTCGAAGTTGATTAGGAGGAATGATTTGTGATCCAATTTTAGATTTAGGTTCTTTAAGTGAGTTCTAGTTTTTGCCATTTGGGATTAAACTCTGGTTTAAACCTTCTTTTTCAGCTTCTGTTGATCTCCAAGTCATTTGTCAACTTCACGCCCTGTCAGTTACAGCTCTTTCCCTGCCTGGTTCGTTATCTTCGTTCCAATCCATCATCTCATGGACTGGAACTTCTCTCTATACGGCTTTCCCCCTTTTCATGAATCGTACCTTTCTCGACCATCTGGCCTCTCTTACTTTGCCAGCCGATTCTTTCAACCTCTTCAACCTCTGGGCTCTTATTCCGTTCGCGCCACCAGGTAAACCCATTGGCGCTACCTGCTTCATCTTTATCTCCCATCGCCCTTCCTCTCACAATCAGAAATGGCCGACAACCGCAAATATCACGCACAATCTTCTCGTGCTAAACCGCGAGAACTGGAAGTTCCAAACGAGATCCCAGGCTTTACAATTGGTGACGAAATCGGTCGAGGCTCCTTCGCCGTAGTCTATGAGGGCGTCAATGCACACACAAAGCAAAAGGTTGCCATCAAAGCTGTCATCAAGGGCAAGCTCACCACCAAACTGTTCCAAAACCTACAAGACGAAATCAATATTCTCAAGCAGATCCGACATGGTAACGTTGTCGGGCTAGTCGATTGCATCAGTACCAATGATCACATCTTTCTGGTCATGCAATATTGCGCCGAGGGTGACTTGTCCGTCTACATCAAGAGCAAGTCCAAGGCATCCAACCAAGATAATCAGCAGATAGCGAAGCCATTGGACATTCGACATGTTGCTTCTTCAGCTCCCCCACCAGCTTCTGAACGTTTTCTTCATCCTAGAGACGGTGGCCTCAATGAGTGGGTCGTCAGGAGCTTCTTGGGACAACTTGGTACGTCAATGCAATACACATCGTGCTAGATATTGATCATCCACACAATCGTTTATGTTGAAATCACTCCCTGTGATCTTAGCCGATGCTCTCCAATTCCTTCGCTCACATTCCATCATTCATCGAGATATCAAACCTCAGAACCTACTGTTACACCCATCGTCGTCTTCAACCTATTCTAGCCACGGAGAGACTCCTCCCGGATTAACTTGCACGTCGAACAAAATGGGTGCAACGCACGAGCAAAGATCCGGCGCCGGTCTTCATCGGTATGTCCCACCTGGCATCCCAATCCTCCGGGTCGCCGACTTTGGGTTTGCAAGGGTTTTAGAGACTAATTCCAGCCTAGCTGAAACACTATGTGGCTCGCCGTATGTCTCAATCACCCTTATCTTGTGTTGAACCGCGATACTACCCGCCTTGCTGGGACTAATAGCTCCTTACTTCCAGATTATACATGGCTCCCGAGATCCTTCGCTACGAAAAGTATGACGCTAAAGCAGACCTTTGGTCCGTTGGCGCTGTTCTGTATGAGATGGCTGTTGGCAAGCCACCGTTCCGAGCACAAAATCATGTCGAACTGCTACGTAAAATCGAAAAGAGTGAAGACAACATCGTGTTTCCTGAAGATAAATTTGTTGCACAGGACATCAAAGAGTTGATCAAATGTTTGCTCAAGCGAAACCCAATTGAGCGGATAAGTTTCCCAGAATTCTTTCGGACCGCCGATGAGGTCTCTCTTGTCGGTATCTTAGCCCCTCCCAAACAGGTGCAACGGACTAAGAGTTCTCAGCCTGCCTCTTTGTCATCGACGCGCATTCACTCGCAACAAATACCCTCCCGAACAAACGCCGAAAGTGGTGGCCTTCCTAAACCACCTTCGACTTCGTCTTTACCAATCCCCACGTCTCCTTCGCACCCCAAGCCACGTCGTTCGATCACCTTGAACCCTTTCGAAGGCGAGCAAGGTGCCTTCGTCATCGACAAGGCATCGATTCTTACTCGGCACAATTCCACCAACACTGCAAAATTGCCACCATCTGGATCGAAAGTAAACAAAGCACCAACACCCCAGCTTACCAACGCGCCGACTACTGCAACTCATTTGGGCTCGAACGCGCCATCTCCTAGCGTTCTTCCTCTACCTTCAACCGGGGCGCCTCGTCCGACTGTTCCGACCTTTCCTGCTAAATACGTCATTGTCCAAGGCGGGTGCACTCCTGGCTCCTCACCTCAAGTCGCTGTTGGAGTGAAGACAAAGGATTACGCACACATACCAGTTCCAAAACCCGCGAATTCTTCATCAACGAAACTTGACGATGCTGATGATTTCGGCAAGGAATATGTTGTTGTCGAAAAACGCTCGGTCGAGATAAACTCCCTAGTTGACGACTTGGCTTCATCGCCAATCAAACCCATGAGCTTAACCCGACGCATGTCTCGCGGGTTTATGCCCCGACCAACGCATCCTGGTTTATCAGGCTCACCTCACCATCCAGTTGGCCGTTTCTCGCCACCCTCTTCTTCATTAGCTACCACGGCCGTTGGTGTTCATCATCCCCATACCCCTTCAAATCCTTCCTTTCCTCCACAGCCGAAGTCATCACCATCTCCGCCTTCTAGTGGCACACACCCAATGATGATCACCAATATCGGTCGCTCTTCGCCCTCGCAGAACTATCATTACAATGGTCATCCATCATCACCTCGTAGTTTTGATAGTGGCGGGGGCGGCGGTGGAATAGGGAGCCTGCCAATTGTCGGTAAGTATTTTCCGCAGAGCTATAACAGCAGTGGACATTCGCCACGTTCTGGGGGCGCGGCGAACGATGGTACTGGGACCTCATACTTTAGCTTTCCCAATAGCTCACTCGCCCGGGCAATCATGTCATCCAATGCAGCTTTCAACTCACGTTCTTTGAAGCCAATCCAACATCAAGCTTCACTATTCCCTCATACTTCCAATCCAAGCACTTCTAAAGCGATGATTGTAGGAACATCCCACTCTCACCGGCCGCCTTCAGCGAGGTACAGCATTGACTCGGTTGAAGCTGAGCTGATGAACGAACTCGAAAAGTTTGCTTCGAAGGTGCTTGTTATCTTGCAGTTTGCTGACGAAAAGCTCGCCAAAGTCCTCCCACCTACACCGTCTTCAAGTTCCTCTACCCCGCAACCGATGGCAGCTGCCTCTTATTCTCCTCCAACCTCTCTTGGTGCCTTTGCGCCTTTGACAAAGCACTCTCCTAACCACCTTTCAAAGACATCATCAGAAGGAACCAGCTCCTCTTCTTTGACAGCGACCAAAGTTGACAAGGGCACCGGCAATCACAAACTTGCGGCTGGCGAAGCAATGGTACTTTATATCAAAGCTCTTGCATTTCTTGACAAAGGCATCCGACATGCAGTTTCAATTTCAACTTGGAGAAAAGATCATCAAGGTGGAACTGGGTTCAGTCCTGATGTCACATTTGGTATGTCTTACTCGCACTTAGATCCTTCTAGATATCCCCTTTGATGGTCTGCTGAAAAATAATCTCCATGGATAATAGCCATCGAATGGATGAGAAACAAGTTCAATGAAGTATTTGACAAGGCTGAGTTCGCCAAATCTAAATCGCCTGATCAGATGCTAAAGAATGGAATCTACGCCGAGAAGCTGATATATGATCGTGCTTTGGAAAAGGTAAGTCTTTTGTCTTACCCGATGTTCGCGCATACAAGACGACACTGGTGACCTTGGACTTTTGAATCATAGTCTCGATCAGCAGCCGTGAATGAATTGATGGGAGAGAATTCGATTGAATGCGAGCTTGAGTATGAAACTTCCCTCTGGATGTTATACTCACTGCTGGACCCAACCATGAAAGAGGAAGACCTTCAGGAAGATGAAGATGATCGAGAAATGATTGAACGTTTTGTGGTCTCAATTAAGACCCGACTGACCGCTTTAAGGCGAAAGATGGTCTCGGGACCTTGAAGAGCTATTGACACCCAATGGCATTAAGTGACTAGACTCTTGTTCCCACCCTTTATCTTTTTTTCTCAATTCTCAGTTTATGATATCTTCACCATTTTCTTACCTACACTCCCTTCTGTACTATTAGATGGTTTGATTGTAAGGCTAAAAGACCCAAAATGATAAAAAAACAAGATCTGATTGTATGTTTAGTGTTCCTTTTGTTATCGGTTTGGTTTTTTTTGTGGATGTGACTTTTGCACTTTTACTGTGTTCATATCATTAATTGTAAGCTTAGCAGGAGAAAGAAGAGAAACGTTGCTTCTATGAATCAATCCAATATTTATGTAATTCTTGTCTTCCTCTTTCCTCCCTCTCGTCTAGTTATCATCTTAGCTTCTTTTCCACTCTCTAGTCTCGTTGGTTTTTATTCAATTGTGGGATGTTTCATGACAACAATCAAGAAGACTAAGAGATATGTATATGACCAAGGAAATCTGAAATGTTAGCAATGTTGTCAAGTATATGTCAATCTATGATGACTAAAATCGTGTCTCTGTTGTCGAGCGATGATGATGAATATGAGTTTAAAACCAGAGTTTGATTGATGATCAATGTTTTGTGACAACTGAGTCATTCTCAGCACTATCTTCATCGTTTTACGACTTTTTTGTTACCACATGAAGGTTCGCGTGGGTTCTGCCACCAATCAAAAAGTTTTGGTGATTGAGAAGAATGAGATTGAGGTGTGTACCTTGAAGTTCCAGGCTGCAGCCCCAATGAGATTTGTTTCCTTTGATGTCAGGATCAAATTTTGACGCGCCTTGAGTAACGAGTTGTCACGTATGTGTAAGTGGTGTGTTGTATGGTCGTGTTGTGTGTTGTGTGCATTTCAGTGCACATTTTGTTTATTTTGAAAACCCTCTCTCTCAACCTCTTCCTTTCTCTTCCTTCTTTTCGTCACCTTCGAATCAGTCATCGACCTCATGGCCACCCACAACGAATCCGATCGAAGGTCTTCTAACGCTTCTCAAAATGTGACTCATTCTCGTTCCAATTCACTCGCTTCTCGTTTGGCATCTCGAAATCCACCTTCGACCGCTTTGGGAGGACCTCACAATCTACCAATCTCAATCCCAACTATGACAACGCCGATGGGAAAGAGTCTCAGCGCCGGTCCTGTGGCTTATCCTCCTAAGAACAATCTCGATACTATTCGCGGTCGTTTCGGTCTCACCGGTCCACCATCTAATCTGATCAAACGCGACCCTCAGAAACGATTCTCTTTTGCTGAGCCTTCTCCCGATAGCCCTCCGGCACCACCATATAGTGCATCAAGCCTTATGTCAACGAGCTCTACTGTCCTAGAGCGTAATTCATCTGCTCGTCGCCGTCGCCCACTATCCGCTCTCGAACCCTCTTCACTCAACTTCCACACGCTCGGATTAGATGAGCCCAAGTCGTACCACAGGCTCGGTCCTGTCTCTGAATACATTACTCCCGAATCTCTAGCGTAAATTTTCCACAGAAAGTCACCTTGTGCGCTTCGAAGCTGACAAATTATGCTCGATTCCATATTTTAGTTCTGGTCCAGCTCGTCGGCAACACTCGTCAAATCCACCTCATCCCGAAGCTGAGCAACTTATTCCACATGGGCAGGTAGAAGATGTAGTGGGACTTCAGGGCCGACTTAGGCTCACGCGTGAACTCACTCGCTCTCCGATCACCTCCAAGAACCCGGCTTATTCTACTACTACCAAATCTTCCCTGCCCAGTCTCAAGATGTTGGAGACTCAGCGGCATCTCCTTCAAGCGTATGAATATCTATGTCACGTTGGAGAGTTAGTGGTTATTGTTACATAAAGTCGGGATGGTATAAGCAGGAGCGCTGACTAATTTATCCACATGATCCTTTTTTTATAAAAGAGCCAAGCAATGGCTGGAGGCCGTATTAGCAATGCCCTCCATTGAAGCAGAGATTCCCCCGGCAAGTATCCAACTCGTCCCTTCGGGTACATTTTCTGAAGCTAGCCTCGAGAGGCTTTCAGTCACGGAGCTTGAACAAACCCTTCGAGACGGCGTTATCTTAGCTCGACTTGCACGTCGATTCCTTGGACATCAAGCCGTTCCCAGGATTTTCATAAACCCCAAACTTCAATATCGACATTCCGACAACATCAATTATTTCTTCAGGTTCGTCCGTCACGTCGGTTTACCCGAGGTCAGTCCCATCACATGAAGGACTTTTGTCTTGTGTCATCGGTTTGCAAATTATCAATCTGATATCTGCCGTGATCTTTTGAAGCTTTTTATCTTTGAATTAGTGGACCTCTACAATGCGAAAAACTTACCAAAGGTTATATATTGTATCCATGTCTTGTCGTGAGCTTTCCATTTGCCGCGCATTTTACTTTGGATTTCTCAATACTAGACTATATTGCAAAATAATTCCGTATCGCACATCAACCTAACATTTGATAAATTTTCTTTAGTCATTTATTAGCCAAACGAGGAATGGCCGCCCGCATTGCCAACTTGGTGGGCAAATTAGAATTCTCCAGTAAGTATGCTCTTTTTTGTCCCTCTGTGTCTTGTGCTTCTGATTTGACGATGTGGCCATGTGTGATTGATCGATTTTCCAAGACGATCAACTCGAACAGACCAATGCCGGTTTGGTTGGAAAGTCGATGCCAAACTTTGGCAACATCAATAAAGAACTAGCGAAAGAAATTAACGAGGAGCCTGAAGTTGAACTCGAATCTGAGTCAGAACGTGAGCCGTCTCGCTTTTCTATGGGCGTTCTGATTTAACCACGTGACAATCATCATCAAGACTGACAAAAAGGACATCGATAGGGCAAGACAGGGAATTGCTGGAACTCGAGCCAGAGATCACTTGTCTTCAGGCACAGTGCCGTGCACACCTTGCTCGGGCTCGTTATGAAAACCTTCAATCATCTCTTCATCAAAATATCTCGATCACTATCGCCCTTCAAGCTGTCATTCGTACACATCTTCATCAGTGTGCCTATCAGCAGCTTGCTTCTCATCCGTCTTTCCATGATCCTGCTATCTGTCAACTTCAGGCAGTCGCTCGAGGAGTGCTCTGTCGCCGGAAATGCAAGGCTGCACTTCGCTTACGTAAGGATCTAGACCGCTGGATGACGGTCATACAAGCGAAGGCTCGGGGACATCTCACTCGACAGCGGATCTCGAAAATGTCACATTTGCTCGAACGCCTCGATTTTCTCTGGACTGGACTTCAGGCTCACGCACGTGGTGCACTCGTCCGGGCGCGTCACCATCAACTTTGTGTTGCCGTCAATCGAGTCAGCTCTGAATTTGTCGGGCTGCAGGCTTTGGTCCGTGCCCGTGCAGTACGTCAGAATGTTCGCGAGCGTCAAAAACACCTCGAATCAAATGACACCTCCTCGTCTGTCGCAAGCCTGCAAGCAAGGATCCGTGGTCTTCTCAGTCGGAGACGCTTCTTTGAGCCTATACATCGTCTTGATCAGTATGAACACTCAATCATAGGCTTTCAGTCACACATACGAGCGAGGCTCGTCCAACTTAGCCTTGCAGACCGCGTCACTCATCTTTTAGCTGCCGAAGACGATTTTGTCGGTCTGCAAGCTATGGCCCGTGGTTTATTGAGTAGACGTGCTCTTCTTGGACTTGTTAAGGATCTACAGTCAGTTGAGGCCGAGGTAACTGGTTTTCAAGCTGTTTGTACCGCTGTACTTGTCAGACGTGCGCACGCCCAAAAGGCGAAAGCACTGCACAAGATGGAAGTAAGAAGAGGTGTTGGAGGTTTACAAGCTTTTGTGAGAGCTGGAATGGTTAGGAAGAAGATTGAAAATCAAAAGAAAGAATTGGATTTCGTCGCTCCTGATGTGGTTGGCATTCAAGCTCAGTGTAGAGGTGTCTTGGCTAGGGTCGAATGGGGTACTTGGTTTGAACACATTCGTAACAATGGGGCTGAGGGTGCGATCTATCTGCAAAGACTCGCACGGGGTTTGTTGGTCCGTCGTCAATTCTTTGAGCGACTGATGCATGTGAGCCATATCCTTTATTAATGACCATAGAGTTGGTCATAATATATCGACCGATGGCTACTTTGCTAATCTTTCATTTCCCCCAACGTAGTATCATGAGCATCTGCAGAAGGTAGTCAAAGTTCAGTCGGTCTTCCGGGCTCGTCAAGCCGCCACTCAATATAGACATCTACAACGTAATACGAATGTGCCTATGGCAGCCATTAAGGCATTCCTTCATCTACTGAATGATTCAGATGCAGATTACGAAGAAGAGATTACATTAGCCGGTCTCAGAGCAACAGCTGTACGAGCCATTCGTGAAAATCAAGAATTAGAATCGCATGTAGGAGAATTGGATACTAAGATTGCGTTATTAGTCAAAAATAAGATCTCACTTGATGAACTACAGAGAGTGAGAGGTGGGATGAATGGTAGAAGGAGAGAGATGGCAGGAAGGAATTCGGTTCTGGCTGCTGCTAACGATCCCTTCGCGGCTGTCAATCTCTTGGACAAACAGGCAAGGAGGAAATTGGAATGCTATCAACAATTTTTCTATTTGTTACAAACTAAACCAGAGTATCTGGCTAGGTTGTTGTATTTGATCAAAGGCTGTGAGGATAAAGTCATCAAGGTCGTCGAAGGGGTTGTCTTGACGCTGTTTGGCTATGCGCATATGAGACGTGAAGAATTTCTGTTATTGAAGTTATTCCAGGTATTTTTCTTCCGCTTTTGAAACTATCTCCCTTCTAGGGTATGGCATCACTGCATACTCATTCCATCTTGATCTCTTTCTATCGAAACACTATAGCGGTCGATACACGAAGAGCTGGCTGGTGTCAATAGTCTTTCCGAGTTTGTGATGGGTGACTTCATGTTTGTCAAACTGATGGTCCAGTATGGTAGAGGTAAAATTCGATCTTTCTGATTGCTCAGCGAACATTCAAGCTGACTTGTCGTACTTTATAGGAACGAAGGAGAGGAAATACTTGAAAGATTTGCTCAGCCCAGTGATTTGTGAAATTGTTAAAGACGATGAATTGAACGTAGAAACAGACCCGATCAAAGTTCAGCAAATTTATGAAGCTATCTCACATGTTCTAGTCGTCAGTAGTAGCTAAACTAAGTCTCTTGTGACGTATGTTAGATTTATAGGTCTGTCATTAATGAAGAAGAGACGCGAACAGGGATACAAAGCTCGAGGCCACTGAATGTGACATTCAATCAAGCTTTGGCCGATCAGGAAACATGTGCCCTGTTCATCAAACGTTGGTAGAGTGACTGCATGAACTTTGTTCCTGCTTGATACGTTATCCATATCTCGAACTGATCTTTACCTAATGTCTTGCTTGCCGTATCAATAGATCTTCAGTCGCTGAGGGCATTGACAGACAGATTTCTGTATGCAATCACGGAATCCACAAAACGGATGCCGTATGGTATCCGATACATTGCACGAGAAATTTTCAGAGGCTTGCAAGTAAAATTCGACTCTGAACCCGAAGAAGCGCTAGTGAAAGTGGTGCTTCATATGATTTACTACCGATACTTACAACCTGCCGTTGTGTAAGCTTTCATTTTCACGCATCTCATTTTTGAGAGACTAAGTCTGATCAGTGCCCGATTGTGTTAATTGGGGCAAGGTTATAGTGCACCAGAAACATATGATGTAGTCAATTCAGTCATTGGGCCATTAGCTCGAAAAAACTTGTCAGAAGTATCGAAGATGTTGAATCAGATTTCAGTTGGAAGATTGTTTTCGGATGAGAATCCTTACCTTGTGCCTCTGAATGAGTACGTGGTTCACGCCATGGAAAAATTCTCGAATTGGCTTTACGATAGTAAGTTTTATAATAATTTCTTCATACCATTGGCTTAATTTCTAATTTATCTCTGAACTTCACAGTGATCGAAGTTGAGGACGCAGAAGCTCATTTTGCAGTAGATGAGTATCTCGATCACACTGTCTCGACTAAACCGACAATTTATATCTCTCCCAACGAGATCTATGCTATGCATTCTTTGATCCTTGGGGATTTGGATAGGATTGTGAGTTGACTTCTAGGCTCTGACTTCTGTCGATTTACCTTGGACTCCCGTCGAAGATTTGCTTACTTGATGTGGCGTTATCCAGGCACCAGCCCCTGAAGATTCTTTGCGAGCGCTCTTAATCGAGTTGGGAGGTGCTCCGAGTGCCGCTTCAGCTGAATTGGATCAGGCTCGTGCTGCGGAGGTGAGGCCTCATTGACATTCGGAATCTATAGTTGTAATGTCTGATGTGATTGAAATTGTTTTGTGCATGTCTAGATCGCACTGAACCTCGAGAATAAATTGACGGTGAATCAAGGTGAGTAAATGAGATGAAGCCATGTTACCACAAGAGAAGTGATATCACTGACGCAATGTCTCTGCTAATAGATCCGGAAGCTGACATCAAAGCGCTTTGGGTCAAAACAAAACGATATGTGTTAGCAATGCTGAAAGTTCAACCTGGTACTACGCTCATGAATGCATTCCTTGAGCCGGTGAATGAGGAGCATGAGGATGAGTGGGCACGAATCGTCATGGAGGAAGTGGAGTGGGAAAAGAATACGAGAGGTAGAAGAGCTTCAAGAATGGTCGAAAGCAACCACCTTCGATCGCTTAATACTCTGGAGGATGTACATTCGTGAGTGAGATTCATAATTCGGGAGCATGCTAAGATCTATATTCTCATGGGTCGATTCATTTGTCATGTTTTCTTGCATAGACTCTCATTTCAGGAACTGAAAGCTAGAACACTGGAAAACGTATTGCAATTGGAGCAGCTGGGTAAGCTGTCGAGAGAGGACAACTACCAGGGAATCTTGGATTCTCTTGCAAAGGTATGACTTTGGTTACATCCCGTCTATCACATTGACATCATACAGCCATCGTCTTTGGAGTTATCTTTTTGGGTCATCATAGTATTAAGTCTCTCCCTCCTGGTTGAATAATAGGATATTCTACAACGCAATCGAAGGCGGATCCAACGTCGGGCCGATATGTCCATGATCACCAACACGCTTTCACACCTAGAGGAGAAGCAAAAGTATCTAGAGGAGCAAGAAGGCCAGTATAACTCTTATATATCGGATAGCATGGCAGGAATGCAGAAGAAGGGATCAAAGAAAAAGTTTGTGATGCCGTTCACACCTCAGTGGCATCATTTGAGATCGTTGGAGAAGAAGGGTGGAAGGAAACCTGCTTTTGGGTCATACAAGTATTCGGTTTGTTTTGAGTATCCTCACTTTCATCCATTGGCTCATGCTGATCATTGAAAGCGAGAACAGGCCCAGCGATTATACGAGAAGGGAATTTTACTATCCATTGATCAATTTTCGCCCAAGCAATTCGACAAGGTTTCATTGATCATCAGCTGTGATGAAGTGGGTGTATTTAAATTGGAAGCGCAATATTTAGATGAGCCTGTTCGAAATGGATCGGTACAACTAAGGATGGAAGACTTGTTGGAAGATCAATTCTCAGGGAAACAAAGTGTCAAATTGGAGGTTGCAAAATTGAATTTGAATCTCCTGTTATATTTGATCAAGTTGAGCATTTTCACTAGCCTTTCTTTCAAAGCTGATGAGGTTTGCTGACGATGAAGCTGTCTTTTGTGTGACTGTTCTGTTTTGATAGTAAAAAGTTTGTCACCGCTTTCCCTGAATTCCCTTCGTTGAAGTCATTGAATACTAACCCAATCCTTGTGCGGTGTTGCGTACCTGTAGGTTTTATGTACAATGAATGCTCCTATATACTTGATAAGCTATGCTATAATGTGTTTGGTACATAAGAGTGCCTGCAATTGGGTCGTCAGTGCCCTTTTTTCTTGATTCGGGCGCGTGTTTGTCTCTTCATTTGACAATCCTTGAGAAGCTTTCCATCCAAATTGGATGTTAGTCAAAAGAACATTTTTTTCTTGCTATCAAGCAGTCGAATTCAGTCAACACTCTCTGAGATGAATTTTCTATTCTATGTAATCATGTTATCCATTTCAACTTGTATCAAACACTACATCAACTAAACACGATGAATTTGTGACATTAGTTTCAAAGATCCTTTTCGTATCTTGTGATTTGTTAATTTGCTGTAAACTTTGGCAGTCTTTATTGTTTGGTTTTTCCTAGTCTTACATTCTTTGCATTCCTCATAGTACTATACACAATTTATTTGGAACCATCATTTTTGATGGTTGACCTATCTCAAGAGATGCAGTACAATACATACATCTGAGTCAATCAGGCTATTCCCAGCTAGCAAGCTCGAGACCAAGAAATTGGATTAGTAGGGTTAACACTTCAACACAAAGTTTCAGCTGCTCATCAGCATGTTTATCAGCTGAAAACAAATCCCAAATATTTTGCCGTCTAGGCTTCCTCGAACTCCATACTTCTCACTTCAATCCTGACCATTTGAGTTGTAACGGCGCCCTACCTTGGTCTAGTGTTTCGGCGACTTGACCATTGGTCCATAGCTCCATCCTTTGATGCACTGTTTAATCACATACCTAGGGCAGAACTTGGTGGTGAGATGATTTAGTTGGGTCTTGTACTCAGTGTGGATGCGTTTGATCCATATTTGTGACTACCAAGCTTTAGCAACTAGCAGCAGTGTGTTCACGAAACCTGATGGGACTGGGGTGCGTTCATTGTAATTTGTGCCAGGGGCCGGGCTCCGACGTGCGTTTCAGTTTTCGAGGGCTTTGTTGAATGCTACGGGTTTTCATTGAGTTTCATTACGTTCATCTGCAGTGTTTTAGAGAGGATCGGGGATAAGTTCCACGAGTTCCGCCAGGATATCTCGATATTCCAGTTTCTGGTCTACCAAGAATTCGCCCTACAGTTGAGATGCCGTACAATTTTCGCTCGTCCTGGACTCCGTCACGGTTCTACGCCGGTGCAATGTTTCACCGGCCAAAGGCCATCAACCGGGATGGAGAGGCTCTGAGAGTTTTGAAGGGGTTATTGCACTAATTGGATGGTTTTGCATAGCGTTCTTAGCTGGGCACTTTGCACCTCTGCCATAAGTTATAACCTGATGCCACTTCGTAAGTGACAAGTCAAAACAGGCGATTCCGTAGTTCCCTATACTCAACAAAGTCATCTTTTGATTACGCAAACTTGCGCGCGAAACTATGTACGCTCATTATCTCATCTCAGTTGCCACGCACTGTTTGCCACATCGCAAATAACACATTTACTGTTATTCACTTCATCCGAACCCCGAAACTTACATAGGTCAAGGATTAGATAAATAAGTGGGTTCAGGTCTTAACATTAATAAAATAGGAATGTGCACGTGACTGATAAGGAATCACGAGTTAGTGATGAATGAGAGCGCTTTGGCTAGATATCACTAAGGAGTGATGAAGAAAAAGAAATGCACCTGATAAGGAATCACGAGTTAGTGATGAATGAGAGCGCTTTGGCTAGATATCACTAAGGAGTGATGAAGAAAAAGAAATGCACCTGTTGGAAGGTAGCACGAATAAGACACAAGAATGTTTGAGTGAGATTACTGAGCACGATACGCATTAGTAAAAGAGAGAAAACATATAACTACTAGCTAACCTGATAAGGAATCACGAGTTAGTGATGAATGAGAGCGCTTTGGCTAGATATCACTAAGGAGTGATGAAGAAAAAGAAATGCACCTGTTGGAAGGTAGCACGAATAAGACACAAGAATGTTTGAGTGAGGAAAAACAACATTTACACGCAAACAATAGTGCTCTTTATAGTGATAACTTTCCGATACATAGGTTACAATCTTTGATCAGGTTTGCGTCTCTCATGCGCTGCTTTGGGACAAGGATCAAACGTATATGATAATAAAGAGAAAAAGAAGAAATAGAAATAGAGATGAGAACAGAGACGTTTAGATACTAGGACCAATGCGGACAGGTTGCTACGTTGCTTGATCAGGATGTTGGCCATTGGAGTTATATCTCAATAAACATGTTGTTAGACTCGGATTGAAGGGAATCTTTGGAAGTATTCACATATATGGACATATCAATGAACCGCCCTTGGCTCCGTAGCACACTCTCCGTGGTTTCGTGTTTGATACCCGTGAGGCACTGTTAAAGTAATGCAAAAAAAAACAATCATCACGTATAGACTTACAAGTAGACTCGGTCGACGTTTCCGGTGGACGTGTGTGATCATGCCTCCTAGTCCACCTAGTCGCGAAGAGGTGAGTGAGCCAAGCGGCTGTTACTCACGGTATCAACCCTTATCAATCACTCCTTGCACAGTGGTCAACAGCCGAGTGTCGTACCAATTCATTGAGAATTCAATCTTCCATTTTTTCCCAACGCTTACTAACTAAAGTCACCTAGTTTAACTTTCTCCTGGATCCACGCAGGTAGCAAACTTAACAAAGTCCCTCGTTTTTTGAGCTATTCAAATTGGTTTCATTTTTACACTACAAGACATCGAGGTAAGTTGCGTGTCTCACTGACCCTGCCCGCCCCTGACCCATCATCCCATTCAAATCCCCACTACAACTGTCGTAGTGTGACGCTTTCATGGCGAAGCAGCTATGTAGGTCCCAGTGTTCGAGCGGACAAGGACGGGACACCATTGAGGCCCATTCGACCAGTGAAAGAGGCACATGTGGTTATAAAAGCCAAGCCTCACTTCAGTCAGGTTTTTCAATCATCCACCACATTGCTCCCTTTCATTCATCCTTGAATATATTTCTACATAACCTCCCCGCACGATATTCGCTCTTTCAAAATGCAGTTTGGTGTTATCTTTCTAGCCCTCTTCTTCCTCACCATCAGTCACGTTCAATGCGGTCCAGATGATGATATTAAGAATAGGAAGGTAGTCGCGATACCTTTCAAAAAGTTCTCAGATGGACAAACACGAATCCTCCTGGTGACAATGAAAGACAACGAGGACAAAGGGCCGATGTTTGTACGAGGACATGTCAAGGAACGCGAGGCGAGCAACACCTGGAACGCCGCGAACCGCGAAACGGAGGAAGAAAGTCAGTCAAGGGACATTCCAGCCTTTCAGAAACTAAACTTCGGAGCTTTACTTACGCGCAGTCCATTTCATCATCAGCCGGCTTTGAAAACAAGGTCGGCCATTCGGGCGAAACTTTCGTATCACAGCATCCCAAAAAACGCTTCGACATTACAATGCACCCTTATACTGTCGAAATCACTAGTGCGGTGTCTAAGGACACAGTAGACAAAGGAAAACGTAGATTTGAATGGGTCCTCCCATCCCAGGTGGAAGACCGCATATCAAAGGACGAAATGGTACAAGCCTGGGGTAAACTAAGATCCGTGTTCCACGTCTGATGAGAAATGTAGATGAAGTAAGTTTTAAATCGTCGCGGATCCTTGATTAAATATCAACTGATATGTGGTCGGCTGTAGCACAACTCTAGGTGGAAACCGGAACGGTCCTTTACGATTCGATCCTTTACTACCTACATATAACCTTTTATCAAAAGACAGACCTACTATTCAATCATTTAATTCATTCCTTTACTCCAAAAATCTATTGGTCTCCTGAATCTCCACGAGAGCATCAAATATCTTATATACAATTTGAAAATTATATAATACTGCCTCGTGCTCCCCCTCTGGTCTTCCATAAAACGCGCTCATTTGTGGGCCATGCTTCATTCCTTTGCTTCACTGAATTTCCATGAGAGCACCGAACATCTTATATGCAATTTGAAATTTATATAATACTGTCTCATACTCTCCCTCTTTTCTTAAAAGAACACGCTCATTTGTGGGCCAATCTGCTCCTCCGGAAAAATCTCGATGATTCATTTTCACCGATCTTGAAGTTGATTTTGTCAATGAGATACAATTTGTATGCCTTTGTTTGAAGTCGCAACTATAAGTCACATAGCCACAGACTTGTTATGAAAGCAAGATGGTCAGTATTATACTAAGATCATCAGGTATGCGCGCTGTCACATTGATCTCTATCAATTTGAAACAGGGTAGCACGGTCTTGGGGAATCGTGGCTTTCAATGCCGCCAGTTTCACTCCAACTAATCAACGGGATGGCCAATCCTGCCCTGGACAGCCATCATATTTCCAATCCTTACCAAATATGCCACTGGTTGAGAGCCATGTAAGAAAATTGAGGAGCAGTGAGATGAGGATCATGATGGAGGCAAGTTGAGATCTAGGCGAATGTCAAACAGTAATCTTGCCTGTCAAGGTGTCCCGGTCATTATGTCGACTTCGGTATGAGTTATGGATTGTACTTGACCATATCCTTCATCTTTATTTCTATGTTACACTCTTACCAACACGACAATTTAGAGTTTTGGATGCAAAAGATTGGTTCGAGGAAAACAAACTGAATAATTGTCTAATCAGGAAAATTTCAACTTGAAAAATAAAGACAACATCAAGTATAAGTCATTATCTACAAACTTATAAAAGTAATTGAGATTAGTGGCGTAGCTATATGATCACAGCACTGAGCAAGAAATGACAAAAAGAAAGCAAACATGAACAAATGTTGACAGGCTCTGCAAAGATAGTTGTTGATCAATAAATTTCAAATCCTTATCATTTCTCACTATTCATTTGAACGGCTGCCTCCTTGTCCCACTCCTGTTTGTCATCATCATAGTTGTAATCAAAATTGAAATGCATTTTAATTCCTTGTCCCCAATACAATACTTTCAATTCCTTGATCTCATCCATGCGAAGTCAAAAAAGCATCAACTCCGTCTCTCGCCACAGAGACCTATAGTGTTTTTCTCTGAGATAAGTAAGAAATGATTGAACTGTTCGTATCAACATCTCTCCTTCATGAGATAAGTGGGGGGACACTCGACTCCTTGGGGCTTCCTGTCAATCCGCTCCGACTTGCGCATCCGTCAAGCGACTTGCTTGCCGCTTATGTTTGACATTCGTGCTAGCAATGTGTACTTTTAGCACATGGTTGGACACAGGCTGGATGAAAAGGAATTTTTTTGCTGTGTCCAAGATTTCTCCGTCAGCTACACCACAAGGACACTTGGATGTCCAACGGATGTCCGAGTTTGCTTGGTGGGGGACGGACGTCCCCCCACAGCACACCGAGAAACGTCCGTCGGATTCCGACGTTCAGACACCTGAGCAGAGCCCATCGGGCTGCCCAGGACCCGCAAACGGACATCCATCTGACATCCCTCGAGGTTTGTCGTGAGGGTCAATGACTTCTCGATATTTCCCTGGACTTATGTAGGTTGTCCTGAAGAAAGCTACGGGTTGGTTTTCAGTTCGTTTATTTCAGATTTGTTTTGATCAACAACAGTGCATTTAAATTTCCTATTAAGCATTGTTATAAAGAAGATTTGTAATCTGAATGGCCAACTTTAATGAAATGATACAAACAAAAAGATGATAAAGACAATGAAGTGATAAAAGCAATGGAATAAGAGAAAAAATAAAACGATGAAATGATAAAAACAATGATATCTATCACTGAAGCTGATAAGAAGAATTGTCTTTTTCTCAATCATTGACTTGAATTGTAAGATTTGATGGATTCATCGTGTTCTGTAAATTGATCGATGACAAACTTTCATACCTTGTTTGGAATTCAAAGCAGACCAATTCCATTAACAACGACACCCAAGTAAGAAACAGCTGTAGATAGAAAAAGACTTACGATCAATCATTCTGGAGTTCATATCCATCATATGCCTATTGAAGCATTGAAAGAAACGTATTCATCTACATTAAAAGTTTCAAAAAAGTTTCAAAAAAGTTTCAAAAAAGTTTCCTCAAGGTTGGTTTATCGCCAATCAGTTGAAAGTCTTACTAAACAGAATTCAGAAATTGTTATGAAAAATGAATTGAGTGAAGGAAAGGTCGATGTTCCGATGCGATTGAAAATCAGATTAAGACTTTGGAGATTGGATTAGGTGTGAATGTAGTTGAAGAAAAAGAAAGGGGGAAGGGGATGTAGATCGAACGAGATCAAAGTGGAAGACGGAAACGAGAAGGAAGTGAGAGATGAAGGAGGATGAAGATTGCTTTGGTCAGGTCAAAGTGTCAAAGTCACCATGTGATGATGATGTCATTTGACCAAATCAGTTTTAAAATTTAACTGTCCTCCTCATCAAGGTCCTTTGCTGTGGTGCTAATTGGGCACCCAGTCTTGAGACTGCTGGTGGCTGTCCTGCTTCCATCATATGGCCAACAGACATTGGATTGCTAGCGGTTGTCTAGGGGTTGCTGTAAGGGTGTTCCATTGATTGGACATCCGTAGGTGATCCGAGCACAGTGTGCTCGAATCTCATCCTGGCGGGGACGACGCCAGAGCATCTTCAGGATGCGGCGGGGATATATTTGCATCCAGACGTCGAGCCAGCACCCCGTTAGTGGATGTCCGGTCGTGTCCCCAATTTGGGACATGCCCGATGCCCTGACGCAAATAAGTGTCTTTGTGGTGTACGCATACATTTTTCAACACGTCATAGCGAGCCAAACAGGACCCCGGAAAGCTCCCCTTGAACCTACCGATGTGTTTGGTATGATTTGAGTGGTCAAGATTTGGTCATGTTACTGACCAAACTGGTATGAAAATGGCTTGTCAGTCATTCATCTTACAGACGTGCCTGGTATGATTTTCAAAATCTCATCTTCATACCAACATTTTTGGCACTAAATGGCACCAAAACCTGTCTTTGTAGCCCGGGGCTCACTTTTGGTACTGAAATGTTACCGACCAATTTGGTATGAAAGCTCCGAAATTCCGGGATTTTTGGGTATGAAAATTCTCAAAATCCGGGTTTTACGTCGGTTGGTTCAGGGGGAGCTTTCCAGGGTCCTAGCCAAACCCAACCACGATTTCAGGGTCTACACTACCTCTCCCACTCGCGTATAGTGGAAAAGCGAAGGCCGAGCGAGAAAGCCGGCTGATCCAAGATTCGGTCATGCAGCCTGAATCCCGCCTGGGCTAGGTGAGACAATTGACAGACAGGCCCTTTTTTCAAAGCCCCAAGTTTTCAGATATAAACCGACGATACACTGATAAGAAAGTGAATGAACACCACAAATTCATCCAGGCCTTAGGCTTTACCTTCAAAAATGACCTCTTTATCAATTCCGCCTCAGCAGAATGACTGCGATATCATTCGACTTCGTCGAAAATTTCAAGAACATGATGGTCAGTAGATTCTTCTCCATCGCCGCTCTTCCCCATCTATCAGCTAAATTCCCAATCCCGCTCAACTGGTTGTCGTAATTCTGTCTACTAACTTGAAAAGCATTGGCTTCTCTCCTCCCGCCAAATTATACATATATGTACACACTGTGACTATACGCGCTGACCATACCGCGTATCTTTGCTCCTTTGAAGGCCCTTACTTGGGGAATATTCGACAATTTGCATCGGTTAATTCTGCATTACAAACAAAATGCTATCCTGATTTCTATAAGGTATATTTTTACTCGTGGTCATCATTTCATGGTTAAGTAATTGTTAGATTGACTTTTCTATTCAGGAGTTTGATTCGGGAAAATATACGATGGACACGCTGGATGATTGGAAGTTTGCATTCAACGAAATTCTGCAAAGACATTCAGATCATCTCAAAAAGCTCAGGTGCCGAATTCCTCAATCAGAGTTGGAGGAGGCTGATTATCCATGGGATCAAGAAGAATTGACTGATTCAGAATGGAATCAAGACTATGAATCGCGATCTAAAGTTTTACTCACATTCATACGATCTTGTCCTCATCTCAAAGATCTCGACATGGATCTGGATCCAACTCATTAACACACAAGGCTCTGGAACATCTGCTTCATCATACCTTTTGAAATCACCTGATGATAGCCCAATGCAAAACTTATCTGTTTCAACCATCTCGCGATTGACTTTGCTTACTCATCTTTTACTATCATCTCCTTTGACACGACGATACTACACAGAAACCTTCTTAGTAGACATGATCTCAAATATGTCTTTACTTCAAAGTTTCACTTGCTCAAGGATTCGTGCAATTCATCCCAAGCCTTTGAACGATCAAAAAGATGTACAAGATTGTCAATCTCCACTTGGAATCCATCTCGCTTCACTTACTCATCTTGTTGAATTGGACTTGGAAAGAGCGCAGTGTGTGGATGCCAGTTGGAGTTCCCTTCCTTGGAAAAGTTCATTAAAATCATTAGCATTGGAACATTGTGATCGAGTCACAGTACCAGCTTTGCATGCGTTCCTTAAGCGTTTCAAATCAACGCTAATCACACTTTCATTAGATAACGTTCCTTTCCACCACGACCACACTCAAAATCGCGATCTAATTCTTCAGGATTTATCAGAAAATGAATACCGATTTGAATTGCCTCAACTGATCAATTTAGAAGTCACAAGTCCTTCACACATACAACTTTTGAAAGCTTTTCAACCTTCACAGAACATTTCATTGATTTCATTAGGGAACACTCCAAAATTTCACGAAGCAAAACAACTAATAGAAGCTCAACTTTGGCCTAACTTGAGGAAGTTACAGATTATGGGTCAAGCAGATTACCTTAATCCTCAAGATAGTGAAGATCTTGACAATTTGTGTCAGGAATATGGTGTCAATTTGCAATTTGACGATGGTGAATTTGAGGGTACTGAGGACGTTGATGAGGGTGAAATTATGGAATATGTAATGGATCATGGGCTCAAATATGGCGAACAAGACAGACTGTGCGCTCCAATAGCTAGGATGGTTAGAAGATCGCAATGAGTAAAGTCAGATTTCGTTTCGATTTTTTGTAATGAAATGTGATTTTTCTCTCACTTGATAGAATTCAAAAATTGTCAGGATTTCTCCAAGTGCGACAACAAGAGACTGATCTAGCCGTTTGCTGATTTTGTGTCTTCAAAATTCATTTCCAGTCAACTCTTATTTTTCTATCAGGGAGTGTACCGCGATTCTGCTACACGACAAGAGACAAATGATGCCTGAGCTTCTCTGACCTTTCGGAAAGGTTCTGGCTACTGCAAAAAGATTGAAGAAACCAGGCAACTAGCGAATCAAGGGACTTTGTTTCACTTTGTAGCTTTGTTCCCCTAAGTCCTATAGTTCCCATGACTGTTTGATATCATTCCTTAACTACATTATTTGATAGCTTTCAACTAACAGTGAGCCATTCTTGAGACTGAGTCAAAACCTTCCTATTTTGTTCTCTATCATCACGACTTTCACAATCAGAAATGACTCCAAGTTTGATTTTCGACTTTAGGAAAACATTTCAACCATCTCATTAGATTTTACTCCATAATACGAGGCACGAGATTTACAACTAGTAATCACAGATCAACTTTGGCCTAACACCGCGGGAATTATTAAGTTCAAACCCCAATTGAGCAGAATTGTGGTGTCCAAGTCCGCAACTTGTCTCAATTGCGGATCTAGTTCATATTATGTTCACAATACGTTCACAAGTTTCCCTCGGGTTTTTCTGATAACCCTTTGTCATGAGACATACAAAGGCCCCTTTCAGACCGACAAGTGTCTTTCATAGTACATTCCATGTCCTCGCTATTTACGCTTGCCATAGACATGCCTTCAAGAATGTTTGGCAAATCCAGATTTGATGACTGTGGCATCCTTAAATCCAATGGAGTCAGGATGGCAAAGGAGCCTGACCCGTCCTTGGCCCGTCAGCCCACATGATTACAGCTTGAGGGCAACTTGTGAACGTATTGTGAACGTAATGTGAACTAGATCCGTGATTGAGACAAGTTGCGGACTTGGACACCGCAATTCTGCTCAATCGGGTTTTGAACTCAATAATTCCCACAGTGTAATCTGGATACGGTGGCCGTGGACAGACAAATCGGACAAAATGCAAAATTCACAAAAATAGTCATACAGCCCCGCTCAAAAGCTCTCCTCTGCCCCCCGAGCCGAGGTTACTAAGCCTGGCCTGCTGTGCTACAAGTCGGTGCATTATGGGAAATATGCTTTTTGTGCATTATGACCCATTTGGCAACTCGCGGTATAACAACCTGATGAAGTAGCATCTTGATCACTCGGGTCTCTTCCAGTAGTCTAATCTAACTCTAATAAAGCGAGTTCTCATCACTATGAGTCCAAGAGATACACAGTTGTCTTATGTTTCCGACTCTTGAGAGGTCCAAAGGCGGACAAGAAATGAACATCTTAGCATAAACCCGTGATGCCTAGCGAGTGGATGTTTTGAGTAACATTAGGACAATGACTCATTGTCAGAGAAACATGATCAAAGGGTCACCTTATATGGCACTCTTCATTTGACTGTAAGTGGAGTTGTCATTGAAGGAACATGGGCTTGAAAAATCATTCTAACATGGAGATATTGATTGATCTTGATAAATCCCCAAACAGAACAGATATTTTGTATTTATAAATTGAAAGTAATGGAGAGGATGATTCTTGAAGCTACAATACCAGAGTCATATTGACATCTGATTAGTTTGGCATGAGCACCTAAAACTACATTTTGGCGTAGTTGGCAAGTTGCGGCAAGGAAATCATCAACAAGCGTGACAGTCACCTAAACACAAACTAGACCCGACTTGAGCAACAAACCAGTAGGTGGGCGGGGAGCAATAGTCAGGGTCGGCAGATACCGAGCAAGGCTTTTGAGAGGGGCTGTATGACAATTTTTGCATAATCTCCACGGCCACCGTATCTGGAGCAGTTTCAAATTACAGATGGCACTGGTTACCTTGTGCCTGGAGATAGTAACACGTTAGAGGACATGTGTCAGGAATATGGAATTTGCATGTACTTTGATGATAGTGCTTGTGATGGTGTTGAGGTTGATGACACACAAATTGGGGAATGGGCAGACAAATGTGGGATTGGATCTGATGAATATTACAGAATTGCAGAATCCATAGGTTGATATGTAAGATGGCAGTGATGAGGAATTTGGTTTTGGATTCAGATTGTGGAACTTATGATTTGATGTTTTAAAATCAGATGTGATTTTTGTCATTCAAACATTAGTATAGAATTTGAAAACACCTGTTCTTGACTCAAAGGTTCACAAATCAACCAAGTAATTTTCTGTTTTTCCTATGAAGATTCATATGACTTCATTCCTTAGCTGTTTGGAGAGGGTGTAAGAGATGCTAAACTCTATCAAGATGAGCACATCACACAGTGACGTGAATTCAGCTCCAAGAGAAGCATCTGTTCAAAGGAACTGATTGATAGTTGGGATTGTTTGTGTGATGCCATATAGAAATTGTACTTTGGCAAAGACTTTTTCCACTTAAGTATGCTTGATATTCTCTTTAGTTCTTCAAATTAGAAGTTTCCCAACCAGAGACATAAATATGTCGTCTCTCTAGTTGATATGGGCCATCAACTGTGAAGGGATGTATCAGTGTGAAGTCACTGACTTACCCTAGAATGCTCTGTTTGTCCATGGCTGAGTTATCTGCGTGGAACATGTTGTTTATGCCCAAACTCATGACATTGATGGTCGTGTCTGAACGTTTTTAGTTGCTCATCATGCCAACGATCTTGTTTACACTCACCTCCTCAGCTGTCAGTACTCAGCCGCGCTGACCAGTCATTTTCTCTTCAGCATCAGCTTGCTTGATCGCAGTTGCAATCTCCTGGGAACTGCCTTCAAGTCATTTTGTATAAAGCTCTTGCCTATTGACTGTTGACCTTATCTAAAGGAATTTCTGATTCCTAATCAGATCAATCAACACACAATCAGTATAACAGTCTTAGGAGGATATAAGAAGTCCGGAGAAGTGATGTTAGACCGGATGTGTAGTTGATGAAAACTTTCTAAAAGATTGATGAGGAAGAAAGTTTTCACAGCAATGGAATCTGATATAGTAGTCTGTGTGATACAACATGTGGTTAGGTTAAAGCTTGTTGGAAAGGTTGTGAGTAACAAATTACACAAAGTACAAATTGTAAACATAAGAATAAATTTGGTATATGATTTGAAACAACAATTTGTTCCAACATTATCAGAAACCACTCTCATTGCTTAACCAATTACCCCAGTGTTGCGCATACCTTTCACTCAATCACAAATTATCATCAAACCAGTTGTTGACGTAGTTTTTTAATTCCAGATTCTTCACCTTCATGTATAAAATGACAATAGAGAGAAACAAATCAACTTTCAAGTCACTCCATTCACCAGAATCATCACCATCAAAATGCATACCCTTGAGAAAGGCTTCAAGTTCCACTTCAGTCTCATCTCCTCTATCATCTATGCCAACCAAGATCATAGAAATGATTGTCAACTGGATTTATCTTTCTGGAGAAACAGGTAAGTCTGACAGACATGACCGTAAAAATAGGAATCACAGTAAAGATAACGTTAGCAATATTGCTATCAATACCAAGACAAAGATGAAAATGCTTCTCATGACCTTCAGTGAATGAGGTGTCTGCAATAAATTGAGATATGTTCCAAAAGTCAGTCTGTCCTCACACCACCAACAAATTTACCTTGCATTTTTCAATCCAAGGTATCCTTGGATGCCAAACCTTGGACAGAAGCTTCCCGAGGTTTTGATCTGAGCTAATTTTCAGTGCAAGAGAATACCTTGGATAGAAACCTCGGACAAGGTCTGTCCAAGGATTGGCCTCCGATGATGCCTCAGATTTCTCAACCCAAGGCATCTATGTTGGCAGTGTCACTATTGATCACAGGAAATACATCAAATTATCTTGATACACTGACAAATTGCTTTCTAAAATTATTTTCAACAAGTAGAAAATGATTATAGCTTCTCTAATTCTGCATAAAACGCCACCTTTCACTTGCCCCTAATGATACTAACTATTTTTTCTCTTCTATAGGCAATGACTTGGTCCACCTTTGATTGCTTGCATTAGTCAATCACATGTATTATTGACTATGTTCTGCCTACCTCCATAAGGTCCGTTTCACATTGTACAAGGACTTGATTTGATCTGTTTTTGACAATACCATGAATGTTATCATGAGGTTGACTGTTCTTGATCATCCTGCTTCCAGTGCATTGTATTGATAGGTGCTACAGTCAAAAGTTTAACCAAACTACAGCCAATCGTTCAAAGACATTCACATCATGTAAGGTAGTTGTACTGGAGAGCTTCATATGAAGAACTTTACAATGAGGAACTCGTTGAAGGGAACCCAGACACCTGGGATGATAACACACAACTACAGTGGGATCCAAAGACTCAATCTGAACTCTTACTCAAGGTCTTACAAGCTTGCCCTTGACTCGCAGAACTTGATATTGATCTAGACCCTTTGATGCGGTGCTATGACCATAAGATGATTAATGAGTTCATCAAACCCATCACTCAAATTTCCTCCCTTGTCAAACTTACACTCACATCACCTGATGATCGACCTTATCTCAACAAAACTTTGGTGGCCAAGATCATTTCAAATCTCTATCAACTTTGTTCTTTCCAGTGTTCAAGGATCAGTGCAAGTGCTCCAAAGACTTTGAGCAACCAGCAACCCTGCCAATCACCACTTGGTCTTCAACTTGCTTCTCTTCCTTGTCTAACCAAGCTGACGCTTGAATTGGCAGATTGTTTTGATGTTAGTTGGACCTGGCTCTTATGGAAAAGCTCACTTGAAGAACTACATCTGTTTCATTGTGATCAAGTTTCAATAACTGTCCTGTACAGCTTCACCAAACTCTTTGCATGCACTTTAGTCACACTCAGATTGCATCATGTACCAGCACATTACACTGTATCTTTCAACAATGATTGTACCTTGCAGGATATCTTGAGCAGAAAACTTGTTGTCAAATTACCCAAGCTTAATAACTTATCTGTATCAAACGGTCTACCAGTCGGTTTCTTGAGAGCCTTTCACGTTTCAAAGAATCTATCCAAAATCAGCTTGCGTGAATACCCCAAATTACGTCAAACAGATGTGACGGCATGGCTCAAAGATAAAGTCTGGCCCAATCTTAAAGAGTTCAATATCTGTCATACAAATGGGTTTGGATCTATCCATACACTAACACAGTTGGCTGCGAAACATGGAGTCATGATGTGTCTCAACGGAAATACTGGTGAGCTGGATGACCACGGCAATGTGGATTCTCGTGAGGAAGGTCTTAGTGAAAGCAATGATGAGGATACTGGTAAGGGTGATTTGGAGATTCTCCATGAAATTAAGAACGAGAATACTGATGGGGTCAAGAACAAGAAACATGTCAATATCAAGCACGACAATCACGATGATGATACACCTGAACATATTCAAGATGTAATGGAAATGTGGACTCATGTTTCTGATTACAAAGAAGAGGTTGAAATTTCCGATCCACGCGGGAGGAATTCACACCTCTCAGACTCCATCTTGCTCAAGGGAAATGTAATCTAAATATAGCTTGGAGCTTGAGTGAGGTTTCTTTATACAAATCTTGGTATGGAAGCAGAAAGCAGATGATATGTGCTATGGACAGTTGTAGATTATATATATTGGAAACTAAATTATTGAGTGCTTCAGTTTTTTTGTAATGATGTTTTTATCTTGGGATTATCTTCTAGATTCTTTTTTTTGAAAATGTCTCTTTCCATACCTCTGATTAAATATTCTGTAATTTCTGAGTTATATCAACACTTTTGAAATTGCTTGTTCCCAACCTTGTGCATCACGCACCAGAGTAATGGGAGGTGTCAAGATGAAACAGCAATGAAATGAAAGTAGCCAAGATGATGACTAAATGAAATTCAATGATACATATACGTTCTGGAAGATTCTTTTGCAAATGTCCATAAGATGATCACATTTAATCTTACTCTTCATTTGAAGTATGGATAATTTACCTATACAAGCAAACAGACTGAACATAAACCATAACTTATCATGAAGCATTGGATGATTCTTGAGTCATCAAAAATACCTGAGGATGGGATCAATATGAAAGCGCAACATTGGCCCCGAAGCTCTCTTGCAGTGCGGTCCCATCGTAATGCGGTGGGCAGGGTCATTGAGCCACGGGCTGCACAATCGACCAGGGTTCTGGCCGGGCTCAGCAACACATCCATCCTGAAAACATTCAAGCCTTCAACTTGCAAGATAAGCCAGGAACGAATCATCCCATTTCAATTCGAGTTCTTCATCTAAGCATTCACATTCAGAAATGACTTCAACTTCGATGCCACCTTTATATCGTGGGGGTCGTTTATCATCTCTGCCAATTGAAGTCAAAGAAATGATTGTATACTGGGTTCATCATCTTCCTTCAACTCAGCAAAGATATTATCGACGTCATCGTCGAAAAAGATTTCAAAAACAAGGTGATAGTTAGTAAAGGTGTCTATCTTTGATGGTCAACCATCCCACCATTCTTCCTGATAGAATCGACTGTTTTCTCAAATCATCGTAACCAAGTCCAAATCATCGGCCAACTTGATCATGCCTCGACTATCACATTTATGCGTACCCATGCTGATGCCGATATTACATATTCATGCTGTTCCTAAGGTCTTCCTTTGTTTGATATTCGATCGCTCGCATCGGTCGATCGCACATTTCGTCAAATATGCAGTTTCTACCTCTATGGGGTGTGTTTCCTTTCTAGAAAATCTGTATCATCTGTTTCTGAGATTTTGACGACCGCCAATGATTGAATGATTATCTTTTGATTGCTCAGTGGTTGAACTTCTCACGTGGTGCGGTTCCAAGAATAAGATTTGCATATCAAGAAATCATTCCAAGACATTCACATTGTGTAAAGATGATTTGGTGGAGAGGCTCTTCTCCAGAGGTGTATTCACATACTGACGAAGTGCGTCAAAAGACTTGGGATGGATCTGGGCAGTCATCATGCAATTCGACAAGTCGATTTGAACTATTCCTCGAGATCTTACGAGCTTGTCCTCAAATCACCCATCTTGATATTGATATGGCAAAGGATCCTTCTCCGGACGGCGATGTCCGAGCAACTCAATCATCAAGTGTAACAAAGTACGACTATGGCAAGATGGCAAAGTTTATCAAACCCCTCTCTCACCTCACCTCCCTCACTCATCTTTCACTTGTCCCTTATGATAAAGGTGTTTTCACCGAGATTTTCCTAGTCGAGCTCATCTCTAACCTCCCTCAGCTTCAAAGTTTTGCCTGTTCACACATTGATCGAAGTGCTACGAAGAAATTGGCGGATTCCGAGTGTTATCAATCATCGCTAGCCGTTCATCTTGCTTCCCTTCCTCATCTAACCAGGTTGATTTTGAAGAATGCGTATTGCGTGAATGCTAGTTGGAGCGAGCCAAATTGGAAAAGCTCGCTTGAAGAACTCTCGTTGGCAAATTCTCCTCTGATCACCGTAGCAGTCTTCCATGCCTTTACCCAACTCTTTGCTTCGACGCTGGTGGAGCTTGAGGTAAATAACGTACCATGCGACACGTACTGGATGGAGGACCCAACCCTAACATTACGAGGCCCCTCCGGTGGACCATTGCAATTTGAATTGCCCAAACTCAAAACTTTGAAAATATCAACATGGCTTCCGGTCGGATTCTTGTGGGCCTTTCAAGCATCAAAAGACCTTTCATATCTTTTCTTACAAGAGACTTCCTTTATTGACTATGAAGAGTTAGTGGGATTAATAGAAGATGAACTTTGGCCCAATCTCAAGCGATTTCAGATCTCGCCTGAAACAGGGTCACTTTCGCTGGATGAGATTACTGAATTGAATAAGTCGTGTCAAAAACATGGAGTTGAGATGAATATCAATTGTAATATCAACAACGGCGAAGAGGATGATTCTGAAGATTCTGAAGATTCTGAGGAGGAGAAGGAAGAAGGAGAATCAGATTAGGATTGTCTTGAGGAAGAAGCAGTTGAGACAGTTTGCACATAAGTTGTTGTCTGAGAACTTTTAATTTCAAACTGCACTATCATTGCTTAAGCAAACTGCTCCAGCATTGTGCATACAATGCAATCAACCTTGAGAGTCTCATCATGCCAAGTGTTGATGTGATTTTTGAGCTCAAGACTCCTCAATTTCAGAGAGCAAATGACATTAGCAGGAACTCAATCAATGATCCACCCAGCTCATGCACCACACATCAGAATGGCTCTTCCTCAACATCTTCTTCATCAATTTTGTCCTTGAGGCCATTCACATGACCCATAGCTTTGCTGAGCAGATGCAAGGCAAGACTTGGGTGCATGCCTTGCATAGTAAGGGAGGTTTCAGTGAATTGGTAGCTAGGTATCAAATTGGTCCAAGACTCAATGCCGGCAAATTTTAGGATTTTCCTTGTGGTTTTGTTGTCTTTGGGAACATTGCAATGTTCAAGAAAGCATTTGAAAGCTTTGGTGTGAGCCTGAGCATGCTCAAATTCATCTGGTTTGTGGGGAGGAGGGTCCGAGGAAATGATAATTGTTTCACCATAACCAAACAAGCTAGAGAAGCTAGCGGCTATGGATGAAGATTTTTGTCAGTAGTAGTTTAAAGGAACAGTTAAAATTGATGATGTATGTATAGTGGCTAGTGTCCAAGCCTTTGAAATTTTGGACCAATTGGACAAAACTTCAAATTCAATGTTCTTACTCAAATGCTGACCTTTTGAGCATTTGACAACAAATTCATGAAGTTGTGATTGCATTTGGAAAAAAAGCTATGCATAGAAAGCCACTGGGTATTGCATCATGAATCTGTTCTCAAATGCTCAAAATGTTGAGATTTGAGAAAGAACAAATTTGAAGTTTTGTCCAAAGTTTCAAAGGCTTTGACACTAGCCACTATACCTGCATCTCTTTGAATTTGGCAGAAGATAGATCAATCATTATGCCCTTTCCAAACCCAGAATGCAAGCCTATAACATAGGGTCAGTTCCAATAGAAGATAGTCGTCAGTAGTCTCTCAATTTGAAGGAAACAATTCAAGGAAAACCCCAAGTGTACCTTGCTTGATTTTAATTTTTCTCCTGGGACCTTCAGAGAGGCAAATGACTCTTCATCGGTGTTGTATGAAGATATAATAGAGAGAAAGGGCCAGCTTACCTTGATCACCCTCAGTCTGGTTCTTATCATCATCAGACACACTTGCAAGACTGGCCAATCTGTTTGAACTGGTTGGTTTGGGAAATAAGAGTTTGGCAGGAGATTCATTATAAAGGGCATTGCAGAACCACCTGATTTATGGAAGTTTGGCAACAAGTTGAGCTACATTTTGGAGGATCACATCTTGACTCAGTTTTTGACTTTTGTTGCCTTGTGAAATACACAAGACTTCTTCATCATTGTAAGATATTTGTACATTCAGGGAGGGGTGTTGCGAGTAGCCATTCCATACATCTGAATTTGATAAAATCAAAGTGTTGGATATGATCACAAGAAACAAAAAAGGGAAAATAATGACCACCCCTTTCTCCCAGACCCCCACCCTGTTGTAAGTCAAGCAGCGGTGATGGAAGTTCAGATTCCAAGGGCAAAGCAAAACCGCACCATCTCCAGAGGTACCCTTTTGGGATAGCGCACGGAAGAGCTCTGTGGCAACGCTGGACTGCTGCGCTGCGCCGCGTTGCAGACGGAACGCCGGTTTCTCTGTAACCGGGCAGCGCAGCGCAACTAAAAATTTCGTTGCGCGCAGCGCAACGCAGGCGGAGAATTTCCGTTGCAGAATTCTGCAACAGCAACGCATCAGAGCAGCGTGAAAAAGAGGGGAAATCTCTGCGCTGCTCGATGTTGCAAGCAGCGCAGCGCAATGAGCACTAGGAAGAGGCGTAAAATGCCTATTGGCTTTGTTTCATATATACCCTTACTAACTACCATTTATTCCTACTATTTCACCCATTAGCACTCTTTATCAAATCACCAACTACATCCATTGCCGCCCCCATTGAATCACCTAATTCAACACCCTGCCTAATCCACATTTGAGCACCTACAGAAGTCTCGATGGTACGAGGTACCAAGCTGCCCCGGTCAGCACTTGCAACATCAGCTGCTGCTGAAAAAAGCCGCTTGACTGCGCTCGAAGCCGCAGTGATACTGAGATAATCGCGTGCGAGGGAGGAGAGCACCGGGTATTTGGCTGCATGAACCTTTAAAACAAAACCAAAGGTCAGTAACAACGATAACAATTAGAAGGCTAAAAACGTGACTCACCTTCCACCACAGAAGGATTTCTTTTGGATCCCCAATCTTCTTGGGATCAGCATAGTCAACGTTGCTGAGGTACCTATCCAGCTCGTCAACTACCTGGGACTGGATACCAGCCCCAAATGCAAACGCACCTGATGGTGCGCTATCTAAGCCCGTACTGTCAGGCTCTGATGTAGAAATATCGATTGATTGAGCTTGTAACTTCTCGGCCTCGAGCTTTGCTTTTCTAGTATTGAAGTGGGAACGAAGTAGTTGTTGGGTGTTGATAGTGATTGGGTCATCTTTACCTAATGCACCCTCAAAAAAATGAAGGCGCAGTCCAGGATGAAATACAGATGCCATTACCAAGCTTTCACATTCGAGCTCCTCCTTGTAGTAAATTTCAACCCTTTCTTGCATCTTGAGAATCATCAGCAAGACAGCTTCATCAACCACCTTAGCTTGACGTTTCAAGTGAGCAGCAAGGTCGTAGTACATGCCAAGGACCATGCATCCGCTTGGTATATTACCTTCCATCTTCTTAGTAAGAGTTACAAAGATCTTGAGACAATATCTTCAGTCAGATTATGCTCACTAAGTTTAAAATCAATTATTGAAGATTACAAAGATTACACACCTTGAGCTCAGAGTTGACTTCCTCAATAGTGTCCCAGTCGCTTGGCGAGAAACATATTTCATGAAAATATCTGCAAGGTTTACCACTAGCACGACGTCGAGAGCCGCTCCCTTTAACCTTGTCAAGGTCAGCTTTAAGAAGCGCATCTATAACCTGGAAACATGACAAAACATATCAAAAGAAGTCATTTGAACTATACTCGACTTTGGTTGATCAGTAGAGATTTAAATAGCAACTCACTTCCTTTGCACCAATTCCTTTACCTCGTGATTCATATTTGATATTCCATTGGATCCCGTAACCCGCAATGAGGCCTGGTCCTGTATAACCAAGGCGCTTGGCCTCTTGCTTGAATACCATTCGCCATGCGCTAGATCAAGTTATACGGCGTATAACAAAGTCGAGCTATGAGATAAAAATAAGTATATGTTAGTTTGACATCTAAAGAGTATGGATCAGAAAGGTACTCACATTTGTCATCAAGGTCAGTATTCGATGCTTGTTCTTGTGTTTGGTAGTAAGCTCAGCAGCTCGGTCTGCAGCTGAGTAAGCATCTCCTTCATTCTCAATCGCAGCTAACTCCTCATCTTCTAACCGGTCAAGCTTGGCATCTTCTAAATCTAGTGCATCCTCAGCATCCTCGTCATATTCGATTTCGGCGGCTTCCTCAGGTATTTCTTCTTTGTCATGATCTTCAACCGCATTCGATGGAGCCGAAGTTAGTATTTCAGAATTGACTGATTCAGTATCATCAATCACTATCGCCACTTTGTCTTCACACTCCTCATTGATGGTTGGGAGAGTACCAGTGACTGGAAAAACCCCCAGAAGGGTCTCTCTAAGACGAGAAGGGGGCTTCGGAGTCATACCAAGCTGTGAAAGGCCAGCATTGACCACAAGCTGTAGCTTGTGGCAAAAGCACTTGACATGAAACTTAGGAGTCCAGCTGTACTTTCCTGTCGTGTCCTTCTGGCTGAGCTGAGAGTGCATCTCCTTCGCCATTGTCACATTTGAAGAGGCTGAGTCCGTAGTTTGGGCGAGCATGTGCATACAAGAAAATAGAAAATGTGTTAGTATTTCACCAAGTAATTCATGACGATCAAAAGGAAACTTATCTTGACATGAAGACCATGTTTAATTAAGTAATTGACAATTGGGGCCGCCAAAAACCAACCTTGATGGTGCCATGCTACAAGTTTGAGAGCCAGATGGCGTTCGACAAACTCCCAGTTTTTGTTGACATAGAAGACAGTGGCCCCGATGAAACCGTGTATGTTGCCTTTTGATGTCCAGACGTCGTGAACAAGGGTAAACTTACCCGGAATATTCTACAAGTATTGTTCATCAAATTACAACTTGAGCCAATAATGAATAAAGAAACAAATTAAATAAACTACTAACCAAGAGTTCTTTGATAACAGTCTGTTGAAGAGGCATGTATATTGTTTTGGCTTCATTTGCCATCCACTTTTTACCAAATATCTTGCATTCCTTGTGGCAGTACAAGAAGGCTGCTCTGAGTAAAGCATCTTCTACTCAAATCCAAGGTTGTGCATGCCTGAGAATCCACGGACAAAGGATCTGGTTAAGGACTCGGTTGTTGAAGATAGGAGCCGGATTGCCAAAGAAAGACTTGATGACCGGTTGAGCTGATGATTGCTTTGCTTCAGCTGCCTCTTTGGCTGTTGGAGGAAGTTTCATACCGGACTTGAATGCTGCATTTCGTCCTTTACAGGGTTTCCAAACTCGACCGGTGTGTACACCATCTCGATGGACCTTAAGATTACTGGTTAAGTTGTCCTTACTGACACGAACCAATCTGAAACAGAATCGGCAAGGGTAAGAGAGAGGTGGGCCATCAACATTCTAAAGAAAAAAAGGCAGAACGTATGAGTTACACTACGTACACCTGATGGTAGACATATTGATTATAAACTTACATCTTCTTTTCCATGCAATGGCTTATCATAATAGGCCAGTAGTTCAACTCAGTCCTCATCAGTCATAGTAGCCTTGAGTTTTTTTGCGCGGTCTTCTTGGCTGACTTCGTTATCAGAGTCCTGAGCAAGATTGACTTCCATCTCCTTGGATATTGTCGCATCAGACTGGAACCAAAATTTTATAGATTCATAATGTATTAAACAAACACATCAGTGTAGAACTAGTGAACAGAGATACGATTGACAGGAAGTGGACAATTAGCGACTGAACTTACGGATGGTTCTTGTTGTCCTTTTTCAGCTTCTTGTCCGAGTCCCTTACGTTTGTTAGTCTTGGAAGCACGCACAGTCGATGGACTTGATACAACTGAAGTTGTGTTGCTTTTGGGTGTACAGATAGGGTTCCGAGTCGGCAGTGCACGGCGGCTATCAGGCGATGGGGCACACATGTTGGTGTCTCTACGGACAACCGGTGGTCGGCTGGATTGACGCGGAGTAGCGGGAATTGGTGGATTGGCATCAGTCTCTTCAGTTGAAGGAGACTGAGGTCGGGTTGGTGCTGAGCTGGATCTGGATCAAGTCATGTTGGTGGTATGGTAGTCATAGGTGGTGATGTGGTTTGGGATGTTGGATGATACGGTTTCCAAAGTATGGAAGACCTGAGACCTACAGTCCTTTGGGCTCGGGCTGGCAGCAAAATCCCCACGGGCCGACACTAGGACCGGGCATCGGGACCGCAGCGTACCGGCATTAGTGCGTGCAGCGCAATGCAGCGTGACGGTGTGCAGCGCCTGAGCACCGATGTGTGCAACGAGTTCTGCACCGCACCGCTTGGCAACGCAGCGGACCCATGGCACGCCTGGAATCAGCAGCGGGCAGCGCACTGGTGCCTGAATGCAGTGCAACACCACGCAGCGTCCAAATTTAGGTTGCGCAGCGTTCCGCTGCGCGTTGCCGCAGCGCAACCAGTCCAGCGTTGTCTGTGGTTATCTCGTGAACCTCAAGGTGCTTACAGGCATTCTATCACACAAAAGTAGAGGAGAACAAAAATGTGAGAAAGAAAGAAAGTCAGAAGGGGTAGAAACAGATCTCACAGGGGGAAAAATAGAAGCTCACATAGATGTGAGCAGAGAAAGTTTGGAGGTTTCTCCAAGATTGTTTCCAGTTTGTTTCCAATTTTCTTCCAATTTTCCTCCAGTTTTCTTTCAGCTCATCATCTGATAAAATGGTCAGCATGGCCTGAGAAGATGAGTTAGGCCTTCCTCAGGCTTTATCCCTCAGCCAAGAAGCCTGAGGGAGGGCTGGCTCATCTGCTCAGGTCATGTTGGGCCCACCAATGCTCAGCCTGCAAAGTCGCAGCAAGAGACCCTACCAAATGTGAAAAACACAATGGGAACCATCCCTTTGGATAATTCTGATCCCAGGAATGCCACTGAGGATTAGGTGAGCAGCTGTGCTGGACTGAGCAGCCCCTCAGCCAATACCCAGTGACATCCTTTGGATACTTCTGATCCCAGGAATGCCACTGAGGACTAGGTGATCAGCTGTGCTGAAATGATCAGCCCCTCAGCTAATACTCAGTGACATCCTTTGGATACTTCTGATCCTGATCCCAGGAATTCCACTGAGGACTAGCTGAGCGGCCCCTCAGCCAATACTCAGTGACATCCTTTGAGATCCTTTGGATCCTCCTGATCCCAGGAATACCACTGAGGATTGGCTGAGAAGCTGTGCTGAACTGAGCATCCCCTCAGCCAATACTGAGTGAAATCCTTTGGATACCTCCAATCCCAGGAATGCCACTTAGGACTATCTGAGCAGCCTCTCAGCCAATACTCAGTGACATCCTTTGGACCCTTCTGAAGGTGATTCTGAGTATACAGTGATGTGTCAGCTGGGTCCTGAGCACTCATCCATGCTCAAGGGAGGCTCATCCAAGATGAAGATGACCATGCTTTAGCAAACTCAAGCAATACCTAAGTATTACAGGCTGAGCATGTTGGCACCACCAAAATGGTGAATTGAAAGAATCTGAAGGAAATTGAAACATTTTTGGAGTTATCAGGAAGGTACCCTCTGCTCACATCTATGTGAGCTTTTATTTTTCCCCCTGTGAGAAAAACACACCTCTAAGTCTTTGGTAAGTTCACCTACCTGCGCTTCTGCCACAGTGGCAATGCTGGCTGATGCAATGAATTGCTGTGAAGCTGTGGTCTGAGCAGAATCTGGAGAGTCAGCCATTTAAACAGAAGGTAACATAAAAAACAACATACCTGAGCAGCTTTCTTGGCTTTTTCCTTTGCATTTTTGGTACAAGTAGTCACCAAGCCCTTATGTGTAGTGGTTTTTGCAAGTAAATCCACAAAAGCCTGCCAGGTTGAATAATCAACAAGGAAGACTTTTTCACAACCAACTTGGCCAATCCATCTCAAGTGCGGAGCCATATTGCTGCTGAGAACCATATAATTTTGGTGCATGCCAGGCTCATACTCCTTGCAGATATCATGGCACATACCTTTGAAGTCATTGAGAGACTTTCCAAATAAACACTTGACCAAATCATTGATGTTCCCTTTATTGAACATCTTTGTTTCAATTAAGTGCATTGCAGAGGCAGCCGCAGCTTTGCAATTCCTGCTAGCTACCTTAATCAATGTGTTTGGGTAAACTTTAGCATCCTTTTCACTATGGATTTTGAACTTGGGCTGGACAATCATCTTTTTTTGTTTATCAAATTGAATATGAGGGGCAGTACCAATCTGGTAGAGGGGGTTTTGTTCACTACAGATGGCTGGAGTGTTGTCACCAGTTTTGTTGCAAGACTTTTCGAAAACTAAAACAAAAGAGATTTCAGTTTGAGAAATTCCAGTCTGTATATGCAGAAATATCTACTTACGTGCATTCATGTGCCTGTAAGAGGTACACAAGCAGAGTACAAATCATGGGATTTCAAGTATGGGTTAATTAGGATGGATGATACATTTGGTCTCTGAATCCCGGCTTTGGATGGCTCCTCACTCTTTTGAGAGCTCATCACAGACTATCTGGAGCTAGGTGAGAGTTTTCTACTTTATCATTTCTCTTTAGTTTCTATGTTCTTTTACTTTGTGAGTTGTTACTGACTCTTCTGAGAGCTCATCACGGACTATCTGGAACTAGATCGTAATAGTAAACAAATTTCTAAGTCCACACTCTCTTGAGTCACTCCAGAGATCATTTCTGTGATCTCTCAGTGAAGGTTCTAAGGAAACTTACCTTCAACAGCAGGGGCTTCTGGGGCATTGGCAATTTGGGTTGGTTGATTAGACATTTTTAGTTTTGGTTCTGGTGGTTTCTCAAGCTGATCATGAAGAAAGAATTGAAAAAAATGAGCCAAATAAAAATAAAGATGAGAGAAAAAGGAAAAAGACTTCAAGATGAACGCACTAATAACAAGACTGGGATGTAAAGTTTTGAAAAAGCTAAAGGTAGAGTTTAATAACACAGGTTTGATACCTGGGAATTCATGAAGGATGCAATGGTCAGGAGATGATAGATAATAATCCGGACAAACAAATCAAGATATGATTTCAATCTTACTGGCTGAGTTTGCTAGATCAATGAGAAGAAGGAAAATATTGGCCAAAGCACGAGTATTTATATGTTTGGGTGTGACCAAACAGAGCCCTGTTTGCTCAAACCAATCCCTGTTTTCTGATGATGATATATGATATCATATGCCCATTCATCATTTGTTGGTGGCCATAACGGGGAGCAAGATGAAAATTGACATCACATGGTTGAAATCTTTGGTATACACAAATGAATTAATTGCTAGCCAACATACTTGTTCTTTGATAGAGATTCTGTTCTTTCTAGCTAGCCAAATTCCTCATTCTATATAGAGATTCTGTTCATTCTATCAATTAAAAAACCAAAAACACACTTGGTGTTGTATTCACAATCAAACAAACCATACCCTGTTCTGATCAAAAGTTTAGACGAAGGTCAGGATCCATGTTCCATTCATGTAAAAAGACAAAAACACAATCAATACTGTATTCAAAAAGAATCAAAACAAGCACTCTAGAAGGGTAGATGTTTCAATGATCATTATCAAAGCATTATGATCGAAATCTTTGGCAAATAAGAATGAAATTGTGTTTACGTACATTGGTCCTTTATTGAATGGTGTGAAGGGATTGAACAAGTCAATCCAACTTTTCAAAGCTGCTGATGGAGGTTGTTGAATGAGGAGAAACCGGAATTGGAACCAGATAAATATGTCTGAAAGCCTTCAATGACAGTGACAACCCCACTATGATGGCTTAAGTTTGAAGGAAGCAAAAGAAGGTTTAGGCATGTAAGGTAAAAAAAAATGTGTTTTGGACCACAAATTCAACCCTAGTTAAAACTGGGCAACACACATTACCTTGAAATTTGCCAATATTTCTCACAACAGCTGTCAGTGTCACACTGGGGGTGCGGCCTTTTGTTGAAAGGCGCACCTATGCACCTTTTCTTGGATCAAAACCACGCTTGGGCGCCACTGGCGTGTTTTTTTAAGCAAAAATTGAGCCAAACTCGAGAAAGGCTTCTCTTTTGAAAAATTTAGATCTTAAAATACTTTAATAAACAAAAGAGTGAGATTATGGAAGAGATCCAACTAGTGGAAATTGACATCTTTGGGGTTCCAAGCTCCAGGTGCACTGTGTGTCTTCTGAGCTTTTGGCATATTGTTGACTGGATAAAAAGATGAACTGGCTGTTGAATATGAATCCATATAAATATACATGAATTCAGAATGAGACTCAAACCTGGGGGCAAACCTGATGGTATAATCAAACCTAACAGAGCCCCCCTCGCCATGTTTGTTAGGTTTGGATACTCATACCCAATTTGGGTGCACCAGCCAATTTTTTGAGTTTTTTGGGCGCGCCTTGCGCCTGGGCGCGAGGTGTGTCGTTTGGCACATTTTTTTTTCTGCGCCCCCAGTGTGATGTCAGTGTATGTTTCAGTCTATGATATCATTCATACAAGACAATTGGCACCCAGCCGCCACACAGGCATGAGTCAAGGCAACACAGCTATTGGAACCCTGCTCTAAAAACAGACAGTCACTTGTTCAGGTGTGATTGTGCAACAAAACAAATGCCAATATGCACAGATGTACCTGGCAGATGTCAGCAATTAGTGCATGGGCACAGACTATCTACTTGCAACAGAACCAAAGCAAGACTTGTGCTACATCAGAACTTGGGAGTCCCCAGGCAAAAGAATAAGACCCAGAAGAGAATGTGCCATTAAAGTAGTTGGGTGGTAAATTACTACAGGTATAGAAGGGCCCTTGGCTCAACTCACAGAAGGTTGAATGAAGAGTGATATCCCTCGAGTTTCATCACGGGTGGGAGGATGCAGAACAGAAAGGCGTTACACAAAAGAGCAAGAGCTATTGAAGCAGGTGGTGGTGACCTTTTTTTTCTTAACTTAGGGGGTGTGAAGTTTGATTTTTTATAACAAAAAAAACTATGAAATGGCCAAGTTTTTATGTTATAACTCAAAAAAAACTTAGCTGTGGTTGTATGATAACTGCTAAACCACAATCGAGGTTTTTTTACATTTTTGCCTTGATCATCCACCTGGTGAGGTGAAGACTGCTGGTAAAAGGATGCAAGGTTGTCCTTGCATCCACCATCAAGCTCAATGTGTCTGAGATCAAATCGGTCAAGGTGAGCTCTTTGATCACATCTTGCAAACATAAATTGTTTATGTTTTACGCAAACGGGATACATAAAACTTCTCTCGTTTGCGTAAAATTTGCGTAAACTTATGTTGCTGCGGGAGAAGTCTTTTATGGTAAAAACCGTAAAAAAAGTCAAACTTGACACCCCCTATTTACTTTCCTTTATTATATGTAGGTGGATATATACACCATGATCCTCAAAGCGAGTTACTGTACACTTCCAGTGCTTATAAAAAACCTGTTGCATTTGAAGTCTTCATTGAGAGCAATTTTGTTCAGATGACCAATTGGTAACAGCGAAGTGAACCTGGAGTATCAGTACAGTGTGTGACCACTTGGGGTTTTATTGACACGCCGTAGCGCTTGTGTGATATTCTCGTGCATAGCTCAAAACTACTCCAGGGCCTTGGTGTAATTTGACTTTGTTGGCGGTGCACGAAAAGCTTCCTGCGCGGCTGCTTCAACAAATACCACACAGGCCTGTGAGCCAGGGACAGTGTTGTGGACCTCAAGGCCTATAAAGTGTAAATTCCTTTACGAGTCATGGGTGTTGTGAGCTCAATCGGCTGCGGGTATGAATGAGGTCTCGTCGAACCGGTAAAAGAAGGATGACTTTTTCACAAGGTCTATCACCATCCAGCCAAACAGGAGTATGAAGGTGATGCTGATGCTCTTTGTAAGTCGATCACACTCTTGTCACTCAATCTGGCAAGTTTCAATCGATTACTACTCTAGACAGATCCCATTTCTGGAATGCCAATTTATGTATAGCAACATGATCAACCGAAAGTGCACAATTCATTCAAACTTAAATTTCAATACATTCATCGACTGCGTCGGATGTTTTTCCCTGACTCTGGAGTTATCGTGTGAATTTCTGAAGAAACGATGTACTGAATCAATGGTGGGCAGCAGGCGCAGGATGATCACGCTCAAGGAAGCTGAGAAATTCGTCTGCAGATTGACTGAGAGTAACAAAGGTATCAATTTCGAGATATTTGACTACAAGACTTGAAGATGGAGGACAAACCTCGATTCGACCTCAACACCGCCTTCGGAAGTGGTGGCAGTGTTGACGAGGCTGGCACTGTCCCAGCTTTGCAATTCTTGAGCGACGTCTTGAGAAGTCGGTAGAACAGGAGCTGATGGAGCAGGTGGCATAGTAAATTCGCGGACTTGGGTTTGAGCGCCGAGGATCGATGGAGACGGCTTGTAGGACTTTAATTCTCGGAGGTAGAGCTCTTGAACGAAATCTAAAGTTGTGAAACCAAGAATGGTTAGAAAGCAGCGTTCATTCGAGAATATCCTTGGATGACAACGAGTATTGAACGTTACCTTTCATCGAGAGCGAGGATGAAGTGAAGGACCTCTGTGAAGGTACATGGAGTGATAGAGTACGGGCCTACGAGATCATGAACGAATTGTCAGCACCATCGAAAAAGTTGGTTTGTCAGGAATCAAGAAAAGGACCAACAAGTCGAGTGGATGTTCTAGCGATGTTGGACATCTTTGAGTTTGTTCGAGTTAAGATCAACGATCAGGAGAAAGGTTGATGAATGTCTTGAAGTGTAGGCTCGATGGGGAATGAGTTTGTTTGCTAGGTCTAAACTGTATTTTGGTTTGCTACATTTCAACTTTTCACACATCCGATAGGACGATTTCGGGTCCTCATTACAAGCATTTTTCAAGTGAAACCTTCATCTGTATCATTTCACACACCGTTACATCTGAACACTTCAAGTCTGTCACAGTTCTTCACTTTTACTACTGACAGCTGGTCTTAAATCTCTTTCATCAAAGCTCAAAGGCCCAGTGATAAGCATTTCATACTTCCTTTCTCTTTTCTATACACCTTGGTATGTTTAAAATGACTTGGTTCCACCTGGTCAGTCCATTCATCATCGGGGAACCTTCAAAGACACTTGAAAATTAAAACACAAAATCACCTGCATGTTGCAAATGGGATTCAATAAAGTAATCTATAAATCTCATGGAATTCGAGATCACAGTGATGATGTTGCTGAAGATTGTGATGTCATAAGAAATTGAGGAGAATCACCACAATGGACATGAAGAAATCAGAGCATGTTGATTATATAGGACTTATTTCGACACACAACACGCATCATGGAAACAAAATGATTGCAGATAAGTGTTGTGGATAAAAATCATGTCATGGGTTACCATGACCCAAACTACAATAAGGCATATGCGTTGGAGTAGGGCGGAGGTCACTGGACAGCAAAAAGCAAATACATTCTTGATATGAGATTCTGTGATACGTATTGAGCCATCCCAGATTCTAAAGTTGTGTAATCAAGGCTTACCTGAGCTCATTCGACTAAGATTGATTCGCATGGGCAGTACGACGACTAACAGTACTTGAGCTCTCAGGCGCTCTTGGACCAGTGTACGTTGGAGTGCGGCGAAGAAAACTGAAAAGCGAATTGATTGATTGTTAAACCACGAGATTCTTTCATATGTATAGTGAGCTTTCCAAGATTTTCAAGTAGCGGGATCAATTCTTACTTGGGTTCATTCACAATGCCATTACGACGACGACTAACAGTACTTGAGCTCTCAGGCGCTCTTGGACCAGTGTACGTTGGAGTGCGGCGGAGAAGACTGGAAAGCAAAAAGGACGATGATCGTTAAACCAAAAGTGTTTTTGGAGCGCATGATGCTATAACCTTACCTGTTATGCTCCATAGTGCCCTCAAGCCCTTGACTGGAAACCACCCCGACGGCTAAGATAGCAAGGCTGACAAAGATTGCGAATTGCATGATGAGATTTAGACAGGGGCAGGTACGAGGTCTGGATGTGTGATGGGGAATTATTTAAATTTGGAAGATATAACCAATGATGATGAGATGGAGACACGACACGATTGAAAGAAATGCGAAAAAAATTAAAAGCAAGGATGCACAGGTTTGAGGAGCAGAACCACGCAGGATTCGAAGTTAACTATGAACAGAGACTGCTCAATCATAGATCAGACTTCATCAGACAGACCCCTCAAAAAAGTAGCTATGTAGACGGATCTTGATAGCCTTTTCAAAGGGTCTGGTAAAACGTACCATGGAGTTAGGTGGGGGCACATTTTTAAAAATTTCTGCAGTCCATTCGAAGGAAAAATGAACTTTTTTTGGGGATTTCTTGTGAGTTGGATTCTGCCCGAATAACAGGTCAGCGACAAGCTTCATATTCCTCGTAGCGACCTTGCTCGTAGCACAAGGTTCGACGACGTGGCACACCGCTGAAATCCCTGCAATCACAGTTGAATGACAAATATAATTATCTCTTTCCTTCAGGAGATACATTGAGAGTGAGGCGCTTGACCTCACGAAACCTCATTCACATTCCATCTATGTACACACTTTCCACATCTGCAATGGCAATAACTCCATCAATCAAAATTATTCAAAGGCCCGAAATTCCTATTCATCACTACGGTTTTCCATCTGCGTTGCTTGATCGACAATATAGAATCTGCATTAAAGGTTGTTGAAAGGGTCCAATCCAATCCAATCCTTCACTAATCTCAGATAGTCTAATTAACTTCTTGTAAAAGCGAAATGAAAGTGAATGTGAGAGTGAAGAAAGATCAATTACCAGGAGCCAAAGCATTGACCCTTCGTGGCTGTGTTGGTGTAACTAAAAGAAAGAGCTTAACCGCGTCACTCGTAACGTTCGCACACTTTTGGAATACTATTCAGGACTTTACAGTACGAATTCTATGAGTAACCCACAGTGAAGTCGGAGGGATTTTCGATAAATGAATCAAAGTAAGCAAATTGTGATTTTGATCTGATTGAAAGAGAGGACAGCTTCTTTATTTTGATAACCGTAGGATTTCATGACTTGGCCGCGTTGAGTGGAAACCACCAAATGGTTTGTTAACTTCTTGATTTGATTCTGAAAGACTGACAAACAAAACCTTGCAAGTTGTTGAGCATCAGTTTTCCAAGACATGGATCCTTTGGCTGATCAGTTTACCAAAGAGGCTGGTTCAGCTTCTATCTATACCGCGACTTCAATGATGAATGTTGATCAAATTTGTGGGCACAGTTTACTCAGAGGAACTAGCAGGCTTATTAGCAGGCTTTTTGTCTGCGCAAATCCTATCCTTGAGAAGAGGCTTCCTTGTCCAAGACCAGCAATTTGTACCGAGTTTAGACAATTTCCAAGATGTCGCAAAACATTTCGAAATGTGATTATACCCTCAATACATACCAATTGTCCACCTCATCATCTTACTGGACAGTTCAACACTGGCAATACATACATAAAGAATCACCCAACCAAATCAAATCTTAACCCAATTCATCCTTTTCAGATTCTTTACAACTTACAATGATATTCACCAAACCTCGACAAAAAATATTTAACAAATCATCAATTATTTCTTACAATTAAATTATTCTACAAATCAATTCTCTCATTTATTTCTTTTTTTTCTCTAATGATAAATTCTCAAAACACTTTCCTTCAAAAGAAAATTCAAATCACAAACACGAAAAACCGTGTTTTTGGGAAATAAATTAACAGACATTGATACTGATACTGGAAAAAAACTTGAAAAAATGATACTTTTCATCCAAGAAACTTTATAGGACCATGTATAGAAGCTACAAACCATGAAATCAAAGATATTCTCAGACTTTGGTCACATACCAAACCGAATTCCATAAACCGAAACAAACTTACGATCATAAACACCAGGCTGAATACTTCTACTCTCCTGTCCCTCTTGTTCGCTAGTCTGACTAATCTCAGATGTTCTTGATGATCCGATTCCAGATCGAGTCGAAGATTTCTTTGGTTTCGATTTCACTTTACTTTTGTCCTTTTTAGGTGTTTCTAAATCCAGATTTCCAGTTTCGATAGATTTTTTTAATTCATTTGATTGGATTCTTCTTGATTCTAAAAACTTATCTGTTTGATCTTTAAGTTGTACAATAAATTTTTCAACTTTTTTTTTCCGTCATACAAAATTAATCAATCAATCAATTCATGTTCCATCCAAAAAAAATCTATCACAAAAAAATCATTTTCATAGTTAACTTACATTGTTGATGAAATCCAAGTCCTTCTTTAAGTGTATTCATAATTTCATGAAATTTATAATAAGCTAAATCAAACTTTTGTAACATCTCTTCTCTTGCTTTGGTCACTGGATCATCAATACGTGAATCTAAAAAAGCTTGATTAGCTACCTAAATTTGATACCAACTTGCTATGATCAGTACATTTTTTTTTGCGCGCGGGGGGCTCATCTTAATTAAAAGATGAACAAAACTCACCTCAATTTCACAAATCAATTCATCTTGTCGATGACCATTAGATTTCAAATTATCCTTTAATTCTCCATACTGTTCAACCAAACGGTCTTCAAAGATCTCTTCCCAAGAGTTTTCAATTCCTTGTACATCTTTCTTACTTAAAACAAATTCTCTAATTTGATCTTTGACCATCTTTCGATGAGCCGAACCCAAGATGTTTTGTCGTTCGATCCTAAGATCATCCAACGTATCCAGAAGTGATCTTAATCTTCTTGGTTCAGATGTATCGTGTGTATCTAATGTTGCTCGAGTGGTAGGTACAGCTCTAATAATAGTTTCCTTCAAGTTTCAATAAAACATCGTCAATGATCTTCAAAAACAAAATGGAATCTCCAAGTCAAATCTAAATCCTAACCTCATCTTGACCCAAGAGTTCAATAATCTTGGCCCATTCTTGATAAAGACCTTTGACCACCTCATCACTCCTACTCGCATCCACCAATGTATTCCTTAATTCACCCTCACGTCTCCTGAGTACATGATTGACTGACGAGGATGGAGGTAGTTTCCAAAATTGAGTCCCAAACTCAATCCTACACCTTTCATCTTCCATCGCCTCAACCTCTAACGAGTTTCCAATCTATCGCAAAACATAAAACCATTCATCAGTATTGCAACATCATCTATTGGCTTTTTGCCCAAAGATCACATTCCAGAAACGGGAATAAAAGATGCTCACTTCTTGTAACAAGTTTGCATTCGAAACAGATACATGTTCTACACTTGATAACATTTCCAACATCGCACGAGACGCGTTTTGAGCCCGAATCTCTTCCGAATTTCGGATTACAGAGGGAGGTAAATTGATGGGACGTTCGAGCTAAACCATCCAAAGCTCAGTTTGAACACTATTGACCAAGAAAAGACTCGAAAAAGAAGATGCTCGAAACTTACAGCTTGTAATGAACCCGGTAAATTCATAGCTTGTAATTGTTTAACAGCAATATCATCTAATTCTTCCACCACAGCTTCGAATTGACTATTAATCCAATCCTTTTTCCTTTCATCATAAACTCCTACAGCTCTATAAACACCAAAGGGAATGATTTCTTTCAAAAGTTTCTCACCAAACCCTTGATCATTAAAAAACTCCAAAGGACTTTCCACATTAGTAGGTAAGATCGATTTGACCATTGAGATCGGTTTGATGATCGGTAATTGATCTGAAGAAGGAACGAATTGTAAATAAATCAAATCGTTATCTCGTCTTGCTCTTCTATAGGTGTCTTCTAATTTCTTTAAAAAGCTTTCCGAATCTTTCATGGCTATCGTATAGGGTTGTAACTCGATCTTTGAATTCGATTTGGGGTTTCCCATGCCGGTTTTTAAGAGATTGATGGCTTCTTGTAATCTACCTGCTTCAATACCATACCTAGTAAATCAACAAATTCATCAAGATCTATCTTCAGAAGAAATGTAAGTACGGGATGAATAACACTTACTCATTTGAGTCTAAATCATCACAACTTTTACGATACTGAGCCACAGCAGCAAAATGACCAGCTTTCAAATTAACATGTTTGATCCATTCCTAAAAACCAAAGTTTTAAACTCATCAGTTCAAACTTCTTTTTGGTTTTGTTCAAAAATAAGTGGGTGAATTGGAAAACAAACTGAAGGAAATCCAAAACCGATCCATTTAGCTGATTGGGATGAAAGTTTTGAAGTTTGAATCATAGATTCAGATGATAGTTTATAAAGCCTTGAAACTTCTTGTGCCACTTTACTAATTGAACCATTCCTCATCTGATCTAATCCAATCACCAAACAAAAAAAACATTATAAAAAATCAGTTTCTTTTCGATCACATATTAGAAATCTCAACAGAAGATGTGATTACCTATTGTAGCTTTTTGCCAAACACATTCTTGAGCCTGAGCTAGACAAAGGTACTGTAAAGCAGTCAAACAAGGCTCTGAAAGATCAGGTGAAAAAAGTTGATCCAGATCTTGAGATTGAAGTACATGATCTCTTAGAAAAGTAAAACAAGCCGAAGCTTGTTGAAAATGATGTATAGCCAATTTAATAGAATCTAAATTCGAACGAGACTGATGGGTAGCTAATGAAGTATGTAAAGCACCGAGATTGAAGAGTGTACAAGCTCTTTCATAGTTCAGGTCATCATGTTCGATTGGAATCGAACTGGGTAATTCTCCGGGTAGTAGTGATGATACGAGTGATGAAGGACTTGAAAAGATGGCCCAGTATTCGAATTTGACACCGATCTGTTAAAAAAGAACAAAGGGGATTTTCAGAAATTCGTGATGATTGAAAATTGAATTTGATTGACTAACATTTGATGGAAACCTCGTGAGTAGATAAACTAGATGTGCATGGTATCTAGAAATACGAAAAAAAGCATTAATGATTGGATTCATGTGTGATGAGAAAAGTGTGTTGATTTTACTTTGTGATTGAATTTAAAGAATGAGAATTGATGGCTAGTTTTGAGCATGAAGGTTGATTGATCGATGATTCTCTGATGGATTGAAGTGCTTCAGTTTCAGGTTTTAATGAATCTTGATGAGTTAGTTGGTCTTGATTATAATGTGATTGTATAAAATCAATTAAGCTTTGACTTAGATCAATCTATCTCATCCAAAAGTAAACAAGACATTCATCAGTTTGTTATCATTAGAAATCAGAATCCATCAGGCAATGAAGAACTTACTGATTTGGTTAGTTTGATGGGACAATTTAATAAATTTGACATTTTTGAAAAGTAAATCAAATCAAATCAAGAAACACCAAATCAAAAGTCAAGAAGAGTTTAAAGAAGAAATCAAAATTCAATAAAAGCATATCACTGATCACATGACCACTAATATGCTATTATTGAAATTTGAATCACAACTTCTTCCCCCATGACCATCTCTTCAAAATTCAAATCAACTCAACACCAACTCAACTCAACAACAAAACCAACCATGACAAAAGAAACTCAAGAAACCAATCTCATCAAATCTAAAGACAATCAAGAAGACCACTCAAACCCATCAACCTCAAAACAAATCAGTCAAAATGAAACTCAGTGTTCAAGTTTCACCACTAAGATCACTCCAAACTTACCATCTATGCCATTTGAAATTAAAGAAAAAATAGTATATTGGGTTTATTGGTTACATTTACCTGGATCATCAAATTCAACTGAAGTTTTAAAAAATCGTAATGATAACAATAATGATGATGATGATGATCAATTCGAAGATATATCAGATTCAGATTCAGAAACAAGATATGATAAATGGAAAACCCAATCTAATCATAAACCAACCCAAACCCACAAAAGTCAGTTTACATCATCACCATTTTTTGACCAATCTTTCATTCATCATCAATCTGATCAAATGATGTTTTCTTTTCATGTTTGTTTGTTGATTTCTTCGAATCAAATCACAAGTTAGAAGGCTTATCGACATCTGGATCTGATTCGGGTTCTACTCATTCCGATCAGTCTGGTTCATTTTCGAGTGATTCGGATGATGATTGTTTGATCGATATCAGATCACTTGCTTTTGTAGATCGTACATTTTATCAATTATGTTGTCCTTATCTATACCAGGTAACTAATTTTTTAAAAAAATTCTTGTTTCTTATCTTTCAATTAAATTGAGATCTCTTTCTTTTCTTTTAGAGTTTCGATTCACAAGGTTATACGGTAGAAAAACTCAAGTTCACATTAGAAGAAATCATCAAACGACATTCGAATCATGTCAAAAAGCTTTGGTGGAGGGTTTCGAAATCTGAATTAGTCGAATTTGAATCTTTATGGAATGATGATCTATTAGATGAACCAGAATGGGATCCTAAATCCAGATCAGAAGTTTTACTACAAATCTTTCAAACTTGTCCAAATATTATCGATCTTGATGTTGATTTAGATCCAGAAGATATCATACCACTTCCAGAACCATCCGATTCAACCAATGATCTAGAACCTGATCCTTCTTCAAGTCCATCGGGTCGTCAAATGCCAAATTTATTTATTAAACCTATTTCTCAACTCACTTCACTTACTCATCTTGCATTAACTTCTCCAACTGAAAGACCAGCTTATTCTGAAAGGTTTTTAGTCGACATCATTTTGAACCTTTCACACCTTCAAAGTTTTGGTTGTTCAAGAGTAGCGGCAACGTATTCGAAACCAACTGATGATCGACCCGAATGTTTATCTCCACTTGGAATTCATTTAGCTAGCTTAACTGGATTGATCGAATTAGATTTCGAACAGGTCGAATGTTTAGATTCAAGTTGGAATTCACTCGAATGGAAAAGTTCATTGAAAGAAATAACATTAGAAGATTGTCAACGGGTTTCGATTCCTGTCTTACATGGGTTCCTAAAACTATTTCAGTTTAGTTTAGTTTCACTTTCATTAGATAATGTTCCATTTCATGATAATGCGAATTGGAATTCGTATGTCAATCTAGAAGATGTTTATAATGATTCATACAAGTTTGATTTACCTAAACTGACGAATCTAGAAGTATCAAATTATATACCGGTTCGATTCTTAAGATCGTTTCAACCGTGTAAGAATATCACCGAGATCGCATTAGATGAAACACCGGCTTATAAACATCGAGATTTAGAAGAATTGATCCAAGATCGAGTTTGGCCTAATTTGAAAAAGTTATCGATCACCTCTCGTACGGCTTATCTTTCACCGGGTGAGATCGAAAGTTTAGAAGTCTTGTGTCAAGGTTATGAGATCGAGATGAGTTTAGATAGTAGTGATGATGAAGATGATGAAGTCGATGTGGATTATGATGATGATGATGAGTTGGATTTGGATGAGGAGGAAGAGTTTGAGGAAGATCATTGGGCTCATCATTTCGGTCAAGGTGGGTTAGATCACTTTGTTTAGGGTTATGATCAATCTGATGAACTTATTCATTGGGGCGATCCTTTTTCAGATGACGATGACGATGACGACCTGGAGTGATGTGGAGGTCATTCGAAACTTTGAGTTGAAATTCACACAAACTGAAGCTCGAGTGAATTGGTACGATTTCCAACTTCAGGGTCAAGAGATTGACAAGCTTTTGTTTCTGATCTCTTTTCTATCAAGTCCATTTGACTTGATCTCTTTTTTTTGTTCGTTTGAGTATTTCTTTCAATATGTTGAAGCAACCACTTCGAATATAGTATTACTTCGATTACACATCTTGGATTGTAAACTGACTTTAATTTGAGTGGGCAGATATTGGTTTTGTTAAGAGGTGATGGAAATAATAGTTTGAAATCAAGATGATCAACTTTTTTTCTGGAAAATGTCATGAGAGAGAAGAGTAGCTTGGTTTCTTAGGACTTGAGTGGATATATGTTGTAATCATAGGTAGGTGGGATGGCATTTGATCTGATGAAAGGTTAGTCTGATCAGCTTTTGATTATCACTCAATCTGAAGACGCGTGTAATCAAATTGAAAAAGGGAAGGTCTTATAAAAGCCAAAACACATTTTGTCATTCACTTTGGTCGGCTCAAGTAAGTTCAGATGAAACTTGAAAGGATCAACTTTTGATCAAGACCTTGAGACTTGAATCTATCAGTTCAAAAGTTTGATCACTTTACATTTACAGTCAAACCGGAAAAGCTTGTCACAAATTCACCGCCAATTTGCGCGAGTTTTGCGGGCAAAAATCGGTCAAGCTTTTCCAACTTGACTGTAGTCATTTGGAACTTCTGACACTCTGTGATATGTGCCAGAATTATCTATCACAAGAGAGAGAAAAGTGAGTCTTGATTCAAAAACTTCACCTACCTGAACCCTATGGACCACTCAAGTAGATCAATAGTTGCAGGTGATGGTCCATTGGTCACAGTGAATGATTTGTTTCAATAACTTGAATTTTTTTAACCAAAACCATACCTTATTGTTCTTCTAAGATTTTTTCCCGGATTTCACATTTAGCAAAACCAGAAATTCATCTTGTATCACTTAATCTTTCAATTTGGCTCTCAGTGTTACAACTTTGAAAGAATAGTTTATGAAGGGATATAATGGAACTCAAAGGCTATGAGCTAGTTGATCAAGGTAAAGGATTTCAATATGATGAATCAGAATATTCAAAGGGAATGAAACGTGTGATTTATCACAGAGAGGATGAGATATATCCAGTGGTCATCAGAACATGGTTAGGTTGGCTGACATGATTTGGAAAACAAAGAAAGAGTTTGAGGTGGTCTTATCAATATGGTTTGGTTAAGTAAGGCAAGAGTTGGGCCAGGAATTGCAGAATGGGTACATGATGGATGCCATTGCTAGGAAGCTGATTCCCTCATCCCCTATCTTTGTTCTACTTTATTAATCTTATGCTCAACAAAAAATGGGCCCCCAAAAGAATGGCGAGTCCCATATCATGCAGGAAAACTTTCAAGCCTGACGCCGAGAATTTCAGTCAGAATTTAATGGCTCACCGGCAACGGAGCTCCCAGCTTACTGATCAGGCTTTATCACCCAAAATTGGTGCTTGGACTTTTTACAAGTAATTGTTTGATTTAGGTTATTATCTATATTTTTTTGTCTCAGGATATGAACCATAATGATTTTGGTTCAGATCATTTTGGCCAACATGATAGAGAACTCTCAATCACTCCATTGCGGGAGATCTGATAGATAGAAATCATACTAGCCTTGTAGGGCTTTCTGCCTACGTTGCAATACAATACATCTTCTTGGTTGATACGCACAACTTATTGCAGAGTGGATAATAGTCCTTGCCATGCATTTTGCAATTCAGAAACGGACAAGAATGTCCCCAGGGACTGTAGAATAGAGTGAGATGAGGTGAGGTAAGACTCAGAGAGCTGGTCAGACTCCAGAGCCTGAGGTAGGTTTGTAATATGGCGCCTGCCAAACCCCATAATATGTTAAATCAAAAGATTATAAACCCATGATTTCAAACTGTACCTTCGCTTCCTTGAAAACGATGTCTACCAAACAGTTTTGCAGCGCCACTGCTCCAGGAAACACTTCTACTGTGATGTCACCTTCATCCAATCATGCCAATTTATCATCTATGCCAATCGAGCTCACAGAAATGATCCTAAAATGGGTTCAACATCTCCCTCCAATTCACCAAATTCATCAAAACCAACAGACCTGTACCACTCGCTACGTAGGTGGTGATCGACCTCTTCGAAAATTTCAAAAGACAAGCCACGGTCAGTAGAGGTGGATAAACATCTGACGATTCTATCCGCCTTCCTTCAGAGCCAATTTCAAAATCATTAGCTTTTGCGTTCCTGTGTCAAAAACCACCTTCATGTGTAATTCTCAACTATTCTGACACTGCTATGTACAAACTTTTGCACTTCTAAAGATCTTCACTTGAGTGATATCCGATTACTTGCATCAGTTAATCGTTCATTCTACCAAATACTCTCGCCTTATCTTTTTCACGTAGGTAATCTGCTTCGATCATGCTATCATCATGATTTGATGACTGATGGTATGAGTTCGATCTCCGTTACAGAGTTTTGATTTCCGAGGTTTTACGGTGGATAGATTGAACTTCACACTTCAAGAAATTATTAAAAGGCATTCACATCATGTTCGAAACATCCGCTGGGAAATATCAGACTATAACGAATATTTAGAGGCGCGTAAAGAACCGTTGAATGCAAATAAATATTATAATCACCCATATTGGATTTCACAGTGGGATTCTAAGTTACGATCGGAAGTTTTACTCAAGATCCTAGAATCGTGTCCTCATCTCACCGATCTCAACATTGAGCTAGATCCGAAATCCTTCATACCTACTAAAAATGTCTTCACCTCGAAAAGCCTCCTAAACTCTTCAACATCATCTGACAATCAAATGCCAAACTTATTTATCAAACCCATCTCTCAATTTACTTCACTTACTCATCTCTCACTATCATGTCCTGATCCACAACCAGCTCACACAGAAAGCTTTATAGTAGATATTTTATCAAACCTTCCTCAACTCCAAAGTTTTGGTTGCACAAGCGTTGGTGCTACTGATCATACGCCTTTCGACAACCAGCAAGCTTGTCAATCTCCACTTGGAATTCATCTTGCCTCGCTTACTCATCTTGTCGAATTGCAATTGGAGTGGTTGGAACATTGGGATGCCAGTTGGAATCAACTGGATTGGAAAAGCCCGTTGGAAGCATTATATTTGTCAAATGCTTATAATGTATCAGTATCAGTATTACATGGATTCTGTAACCTCTTCAAATCGACCTTGAAAACACTCATACTGGTGATTTTCATCGATGACCCTAACGCTCTCGATTCAGAGTTCATTCCAAATGATTCATTTCGATTTGAACTACCTAGACTGACCAACTTGCGAATTATAAGTAATTGGGCCATTCAATACTCAAAAGCTTTTCGAGGTTTAAAGAGTCTCTCACGGCTCTCATTAGGACTCGATCCGCTTTATGATACTCAAGAGTTAGAAAACTCGATCCAAGATCAACTTTGGCCTAATCTGAAGAAGTTAGAGATCGAAGATCACTCGCCTCACGTTTATAGCGAGGTCGTAGGTCTAGAAGATTTGTGTCAGAGCTATCAAATTGAGATATTTTTCCTATGTGGACTTGATGATGAGGATGGGTGACACTGTTGGTCATGATATATTCAAACTCCAGGGATATACAGCCTCAGGTCTCATGGTGTAATCAGATTTATGGTGGATGGGACTGAGATTATGGACCCGCAGAATATTCATATTGTCTATATTATTATGATTCAAGTTATGATGAATATTGATTTGGGTTCAGGTCATCTGGGCTAGCATGACAGACAAAAGCAATTCATTATTTGACATGCTGAATGCACAAGCAAGGTCAGCAGTATGGCTTTTGAATTGACCAATGATTGGTACAACTTTGCACGGGCTTGCTATTGCTCAATCATACCGAGTGTTTGGTCTAACATTTATCTGCAAAAGCAGATCTTAGTTGAGCCCAAGCTAAGTTGCACTATTCAAGGTATCAACATGTACAATGCAGCCCAACAAAGTGTACCACAATTCTAGTCTGGTGCTCCAGCAAAAAAACACTCAGATGATACACTGAGGGAGATCTAAGGCAAACTGACCTTGGAGGGCGTGATGCCCACCATGGAACACAATATATTTTGTTGGTTGATAGTAAAATTGATTCCAGAGTTGAGTGTGTTAAGCTCAATAATCCTTACTATACCTCAGCTTCAATTCAGCAATGTAACAATCTCTTTTCTACTTGAGTCTTGTAATTTCCATCATCCAAGAGGGTATCAACAGGACCCCGGATAAGTCCTATAAACCCTAGGGATGAAAAAGGAATGAATCAGACCCTCCAATTTTTGCTATGTTAGGGATGAAAAAGGAATTATCCGCCCGGTCCTGGTCACATGTTAGGGATGTGGAGGAATGAATCTCAGTTGGACAAAGATCTCCCTCTCAGATGATACTGATGTACCATGAATGAACAGCATTATCAATATCCCATTTCATAAGTTATTTCTCCATTAACCTTGAAAGGAACAAACAGAAAGTCACATCCAACAAGTGTTTACACAAGTTGCTCATACGTAAGTTGAGTTGTGCACAAGGGACATAGCTTGCATTCATTCAAAAATCAATTTTTTCTGACTTTCCTTTACTCTGAGGAGTATTCACCCATTTTGAAACAAATTTTGTACATTGAAATAGCTGATCTAGCTACAAGAATCACGTCAAGATTATTTGCCTTGTCCAATGTTCCAGAAATGAAATTGAAGTCCCCAAAAATTCTCCAAAACCAGCTTTCCAATGTTAGGGATGTGGGGGAATTAATTTCCAAAACTCTTAAAAACATGGCTTTTAGGTTAGGGATGAAACATCAATTAATGGCCTCAAAAAAACAAAAAAAGAGGTATGAATTAGGAGGTTTTGACCAATTTTCCATCCCTATCATTTATAAGACTTATCCGGGGTCCTGTATCAAC